GGCAAAGGAGAGCCTGCTCCCAGGACCGTTTTATAAAATTCCTTAGCTTTAGAAACTGTATTAAGTCTATAACGTGTCCCCGCATGGCTCAAAACAATGCCCATCGGAATCTCCCATCTAAATGGCATTTGTCTTGCTTTAAGTTCATTTACTAAAAAAGCAAAATCTTTTCTGCTTCTTAAAATTTTAGGGGGAATTTCCTTTAAAATAATAATATCTTGGGCAGCAATCTGAAATCTTTTATTATAAAAAGTTTGTAGAATCTGATTTCGCAAAGACTTCTTAGCAAAATATATCACCACATCTCTAGGAAAATTCCTCTGTTTTGCAATCCAAGAATTAACTCTATAAATTCTTTCCACATCCCCACGTAACTCTTCTTTATCAATATTCAAAATAACAGCCAAGTCATTAATCACCATTTCCATCAAATCTTGAGTTTTATCTTCTTTCAGACCCCTTATTCTCAAATCATATTCCATCTGTCTATACTGGAACATAAGAATATCATCTTGTGAAGTCTCCACTTTTTTCTCCATATCTTGAAATTTATAATCCAAAAGTTCAACTGTTTCTTCAATTTCCTCTACTCTGGAGTCCAGCTTCACAACAACTGAGGCCATTCCAGATAGAGCTAGAAGTATATCATCCCTCAAAATAGCATTATTCTGTTCTAAAAGCTCCTTCATCTCTTTCTTCATTTCCTCCTTAGTTTCAGATTTATTCTGGTCCAAAAGTTGTTTCATTTACTCCCTAAACTGTGAGACAGCACTTACCATTATTTCTTTAATGTCTTGTGCTGATGTGCCAGATGGGGGAGGTGAAGGTGGAGTAGATTTAGGTTGCTGCAATGAGGGTATTATTTTAAGTTGTTGTTGCACAGTAGAAGTAGCAGGAGAAGAAGTTACTTTAGAAGCTGCAGTAGCTGGTTGTCGTTTTGAAGCCATTTTAATTTATCTTCCTTTCTTCTTAAAAATACCGATAAAAATAAGTAATCAAAAAAAAAATTAAAAATAAGATAAAATAAAATAAAATAAGATCAATCTAAAAGTCCCCAAGAATAAAAAAGTAAAAAAAAGTAAAAAAAAAGCAGTATTAAACAACAATTCAGCCGATCCGTCTTTTAAAGGAAAAAAAACTTTCAAAACGCCATTTTACTTTCACTCTCACTTTTCCGCCCGAAAAAAAAGAAAAAGCTCAAAAAAATAAGAAAAAATCAGCAGATACTAAATAAACTAAATAAACTAAAAAAAAATAAAATAAAGCTAAACTATAAATAAAATCCTTTAAACAGTTCTGTCCGGTTTAAGATTACTCACGGTTTCTTTAAATACGGAGATGGTAGCGGCGTCTCGCTTTGTTTCCGAAGAAACAAAGACAGCTGAGAGGCGGAGAAGGCAATGAACTCCGAGGGAACCCTCTTTCTACACCCCTAAAAATAAAAATCCAGGGAGAGTTAAGAGGTTCTACCTCTATTCATGCGATCTCTACCCCTTCCCTTCGCCCGGGAAGGGGATTGCGAGCCGCGGGCCAGCTGGTAAACGCTGTGCTCCGCGGATCTAACACCTTCTCAGGAGGACGGCTACAAAGTAGCCGCCATCTCCACCGCTTTAACCACCGGAAGTCCTGATTTACTTGTCTTTTTATGGGAGGTCAAGATGGTCAAATGGGGCTCTCCTTTCATTTTATCCCTGCCGCCGCAGCCACTCATTTGGTTGTGTGCTTGTCTGACATAGTTGCCAGATCAGAAAGACTAAGGCAATCTACACACTGAAAATACAGTGCAGTCAAAATGCAAAAAGTATGGCAATGATATACATTTGGGGAGCACATAAAGCCCAGTTTCAGCCATCTCTCATCAGTTATCATTCCAGTTCACAAAACACTTGAGCCAAGGGCTCCTTGGAAAAACAGGTTTTCAATGCATGTCTAAAGCAGGCCAGGGGTGTATTCTTTACTAAAGTACTAAAGCAGTGGTTCTCAACCTGTGGGTCGGGACCCCATTTGGGGTCGAACGACCATTTCACGGGGGTCGCCAAACAACGCAGTCCGCCATTTTTTTCCCCTTTTCCTTAGCTGTGCTACTCCCTTTTATTCTATTGGCTTTTGAAAGCCAATAGAATAGACTCTCTGGAATAGAGTCTAATTCTATTGGCTTTCAAAAGCCAATAGGAATGGTCCAGGCTGTCTCTGCCCTGCTGAGCCCGCCAAAAGTCCCATTCTGCAAACGGTGCTGCACCAGTTGAGTAGTCCTCGACTTACGACCGGTTGAGTAGTCCTCGACTTACGACCGGTTGGGGGTCGCAGCATTAAAAAGGTTGAGAACCACTGTACTAAAGTTACTTGTTTAAGCTGTATTAAAGTATTAAGATATTTAAGATCCACTTTTCAAACAAGTAAGTAGCAAATCCTGCAGGATAGCATTGTTGCAGGTAAAACCCAATGAAAATTCACACAAAGAAACAAAATAGAAAGTTGGATTTCACATTGCATCATTCCCAAGGGGGGGGGGTTCAAGGTTAGGGAAGGCTGAGCTACAAATTGGCAATGGGCATGAAGTAGAACATGGTAACAGTTAACGAGAGTGTCATTATGACATTGTCTTCATCTCATAAATAAGATAGGCTTAAGTTTTCCTTTATTCCAGCACTATCTAAAGTAGGGGTCTTCAAACTTGGCCCTTTTATGACTTGTGTACTTCAACTCCCAGAGTTCCTCAGCCAGGCATGCTGGCTGAAGAATTCTAGGAGTTGAAGTACACAAGTCATAAAAGGGCCAAGTTTGAAGACCTCTGTTCTAAAGGATTCCTCAAGGTGGGCAAAATCTATTACACATTCATTACATTGGAGGGAAACTAAGCTTGGAGATAGAAAGGAGCAGCAGTGGGGATGCTTCATATTGATAGTTTTCTGTTGATTCAAAGTGGGTGAAGAGCAACATAATAAAAAAGTCCCAGAGGAAAAAGCATATGCCAGAGAGAGGGACACTATGATTACATGTTTTGCTTGCTTGCTAGAAAATACATAGTAAAAAATAAAATAAGGGATGGAGAGAATCCCCCTACTGAGAAATGTAATAATTAAGTATTTTTATTTTTAAACAAGTGAGATGTTGTGTAGTTAAAAATTTTAACATTTTACAGTAGCAGGTAACATTTTCTCTCTCATAATTCTGGACTTCCAGTATTTAGCCTTTTACTTACAACTTCTTTTTCAGAAAGTGAATGTCATAACTTTATTTTCTAAGAGCATCTGAAAAAACTATTGTTCATTTTTAAATAAATTATTAGAAAATAAAAAGATTAACATTATTAAATATTAAAGATACTTTTAAAAGTTTTAAATGGTACGTAAAGCAAGTGACATGGATATATGATTTATTTAGGAATGGAAAAAAGCCTTTTGAATTAGAATACTTCTAGCCCAGAAGAATTGAATATGAGAACAGGTCTATTCTGATTCCCCCCTCCCATAGTTATCATTTTATCTTGATGGACAATATTATGGCTGGGTGCGGAAAACATGGTTGCATTGCTCATGAACTCCACCCAGTACTTTTGCCCACATTTATATTTACTCTCCAGCTTATATGTCCATTGGTCAAAGGAGATGACTGTGATCCTCCTTTGGCACAGCTACTTTTAAAAGGAAGAAGTGCATACTAAATAAAGTAAAGAAAATAAGTTTGCAAAGTCTAAACAGCATGGTATCAAAGAAATACCTTGTCTGTCAGGGGAAAACATTGTGCTTCTAAAATGCGAGCTGCTGCTTTGACGCTAGACCAGACATGTCAAACACAAGGCCCGGGGGCCAGATGCGGCCCGCAAAGTGGTTTCATGTGGCCCGCGAAGCCATTCTGGAAACAGTGAGGGAATGGCCCCCACAGCCTTGGCCCTGGCCCAGGCAGGCCGAGAGCCAATGTACAATTTTGTGGTGGCCATCTATGCTGAAACACATTCACTCTTAGCTCCACAAGGCCATCTAGAAACAGCGAGGAACCAGCCCCTGCTGTGTCGACCCCGCCTCCTGGGTGCATGCTGGGGAGGTGTCACCCTTTGTGAGGAATGAAGAAATGGACCATCCTTGGCGCTTGCTCCGATCCCACCCCCTTCTGCCAAAGACCCTCAGATCTGTCCGACTCCTGCCCAGGCCCCCACAGGCACCCTTGACGCAAACGATATAGAGCTGGCCGTGCCCACCCAGTAGGCCACACCCACTCTATCCACACCCACTCAGTAGGCTACACCCGCCCTGGCCACACCCACCCAGCCCCTCAAGGGCAACCGCAATGCTGATGCGGCCCTCAATGAAATTGAGTTTGACACCCCTGCGCTAGAGGTATGAATACTTATCCTTTCTCTGAAGAGTACCTTGAAAAATATATGCATAGAATGCAACCTTCTCCATTTCCCTCAAAACAGGAAAGAAACAGTTTAAAAATGTTGCTGCCCTCAAGCAATTATAACTGGAAGTGGTTCCTTGGCCACCAAAAATTTGTGTACCCTTGCCTATGGTCCTCAGTGTGGTTCAGATTGCTGACTCTGGCCAACCCAGAGTAATGTGTCCCAGGGTATGAACTATGGATTCTAAGCAACCAGTTTGTTTTGATACTGACCTCCCAAAGGGCTGGGCCAAGCCAGAATTATTCTCCAGAGGAGCATTTAAGGGCAGATAGCTGCTATACAAAGCAGGCGCAGATTGGGAGACACAGAAAAGACCTATGGGATGAAAACAAAAGGGGGAGTGGCCTGGGGAGAAGGTAGTTGAGGCTTGGTCAAGAAACAGAGCTTGTGAAAGAAAAGAGGAGAGGCTTGCAGATACAGAGAGCAGCAACCTTGGAGCCAAGAAGATGGCAGTGATGCAAAAACTTGCCAAAAGGAAATGAAGGGTAAATAGCTAAGTTTGTGAGAAGCAAAAAGAGGAGCAGCCAGGGATAACAACCAGAAACAAATAATGTGCTGACCCCGCTCCTAATCAACCCTACCTCTCTCTTGACTGCAGGATTCGTACAGAAAGCAAGTAGTCATCGATGGGGAGACCTGCTTACTGGACATCTTGGACACAGCTGGCCAAGAGGAATACAGTGCCATGCGAGACCAGTACATGCGGACAGGGGAAGGCTTCCTATGTGTCTTCGCTATTAACAACACCAAGTCCTTTGAAGACATTCATCAGTATAGGTGAGTAGAACAATCTTCACCTGTACCGTGAAGGACAGTGTGCATCCTGTTTTAGAACCAGAGATCTGGAATAAGGGGATATGTGGCTAACACTTTTTTTCAGCCCATCCTAAAAAAAAAACAAGCCTCTCCCCTTGGTCTGATCAAAGCAGAAAGTTTCCAGCAACATTTCTACTGAAATATCATCCAAGCAAATTGCTGGTCAATCAGGAAAAATCCCAGGGAGGAGGGAGCATTCAAATGTTTGCCGTGACTACATCCTCTCTTGTTTGTTCCCTTTGTCCTTAATTAAGGGTGCTGTGCTGTACGTGTTAAGGGAAGGAAACTTGTATCGATCGCATATGAAGGGCAAAGAGAAAGAGAGAGAGAGAGAGAGAGAGAGAGAGAGAGAGAGATGAATAGGTTGATTGAGGCTTTGCTAATATTTTTCCTAGGGAAGCTGTAGCAATGTGTGTTGCTCATGCTGTTTTTAGAAGCCATCAATTGAGTATCTGAGTGCCAGGGGCACTGACATCCTTTGGCCCCACCCATCATCACTGTCAATAGAGATGACCCCTCCCCCCTCCTCTCCTTTGCCTGATTTTTCCAATAGATTGTGTTTTAGGACTGGCTAAACCAGAACATCCACATGCTTCCTTCTCTGTATGTAATGCAGCAGATGCAAAAGCCTGCATGCGGTTTTAGTTAAGAGTCCTACTTCTTTCTTGATTCCTCTAGGGTTCTTAAAGATCTTGTACTGAATCATGTTTGATTGTTATCTAAAGGCTATTGCATTCGTGGGTATGAAAAAAGAATGCCATTCTTTGGAGACATCATTAAAAAGCAGAGGGAACTCTGCAAGTTTATCAAAGGGTTATGGACCTAAAAAAAAAAAAGGCTTGGTAAGATGTAGGCAGAATTTAAGTTCTGCTGTTAGTCACTGTGTTTCTAAAATAATGTAAAAGAATAAATAGTTGTTCCACTATTCCAGGCTTACAGAGGGACTCTGATTGTCTTTTTCTGCATCTATTTTCCTGTACTGGTCTCTAGTGAATTCTTGCCCCATCATACTTAGTCAGAATGGCCATTCTGGATGTTATAGTTCACTGAATCTGGAATCAAGATTTACATTAAAAGTCTGAAAGAAGGAAGAGTCTCTTACGTCTCTTTTCCAACACATAAAAGCTGTTTTCACTTTTTAATGTTTAAAACAGGGCACGCTATACAAGAAAAACTACATGTTTTAATTTATTCATTGATATGTAGATTTGCTTAACTAGATTAGTCAATTTTCACCTATGAGCAATTAGCGTGCAATTGGGATAAGTGTCCTACACAATTCTGCGTACAAAATACACTTCTTCAAGTAAGACAGGGAATGAATGGCTAAAAATGGATGCACATTTCTTTACCCTGATAATAAGATTTTAGTAATCTTAAATAAAACAAATGGTATATGTTTTTCTGTGGCTCACTGCTAAAAGGAGAAAAGAAAAATCCACACACCTGAGGGAGAAGTATGTTACAAGGGTTCCTCAAATGACGATGGTAATTGGGTAGAATTTCTGTCACTAAGTGATGAGGTTGTAAAGCATGATATCATGTGACTGGATTGCTCAGTGATGGCAATCCTGGCACTCCCCATTGCTATTGGTAGCTGAATCCCAGAGGTTGTTAAGGGAGATCCCGATCCCACTCCCAACTTAGTCCTCCTACCCCACTCCCAGCCTTGGTAATGTAAGGGACTGGTTCCTCTAACTCCCTCTCCCATCTATTCCCCCCCCCAATCTCTGCTCTTTTGGCTGCCCTCTTCTCCACCACCTCTGCTGACCTTCCCACCCTGCACTCTGCTGGCCCCAACTGACTTTTGCTGCCATCCTCCTGCTGCTGTTGAAATGCACCTGACCTGGACTTACATGACGAACCTGGCTGTGCCAGACCTCCTTCCTGAGGCTGCTTGTGCCATTATCCAAGTTGCGCAGTCTGTTTTCGTGAGTGTAGGGCCAGTGAGTGCATGGCGGCAGGGCCAGTGGAGCACAGGCTGGTGGGGGTGGCTGGGGCTTGGTGCTGTGACAGCACCGGGACTGAAGTAGCGCCCTTGGGGTGGCGGCAACTGGCTGAGATGGCTGAAGGCCTGGAGCTTCTACTTCAGCCCCAGTGCTGCTGCCTGCGCCGAGGATGGCTACTGTGCAGGCCAGCTGAAAGAAGAAGAGATGGGAAGGAAACTGGCAGATGGGGGAGTTGAAGCGCTCCTATAGTAGGAGGGCTGCCAAGTGCCCAAATTTTGATCATATGACCAGAGGGCCACTACAGCAGTCATAACTTCAGAGACTGGGCCTAAGTACCCTTTGTTCAGAGCCACCATAACTTGATTCAGTCATTGAATGAATGGGGGTAACTGGAGAATTACCTGTAGTTGTAACTTTCCTTGAAAAACTACTCAAATCGCCTAGAAAATCAGCAAGCTTAATGGAAATTAATTGGCTCTGATAAGCCTGAGTGCATCTCCTGGGTCAGTGTTCTCAGTGTCGACAACTTATTGTGAAGCAAGGAGCCCAGTGTGGCCTGTTTGAGTAAAAGAGGCCGGGCTGGTTCCTTGGGGAACAAGGAAACCCCCTCCCCCTGCACCTGTAGGGCAGCCAGGTTGCTTTGTGATCTGGATTCCAGGCTGACTGAAGCTGTAATTGAGTGCTGACAAAGGATTTGAGCTCTATTCCTTGCTCAGGGAGGCCTGCTCACTGCTTTATTCAAATGTTGTAAGAAGGGGATATCTATAAAGAAGGTATGATTGGCAGTATGATGAGAGAGAAGAGACAAGAAAGAAAAAAACAGATAGCAATAGAGATACACGGAGTATCTGTCCAGATTATAGTGCAGGAGAAAAAGAGCCATGACTTGGGGCTTCTTCTATGCCATGAGGGTAGACAGCTGGATACCCTCTCCCCCCAATAAAAGCAGCCTGGGAGCAATATGTGTAGAATTGAAAAAAAGATGACTAAAGATAACATGATTTAGGGGAGAAAGAATGGAGGATCTCCCTCCTATGATGCAAAATGACCAAAAGTGGCCAATTAGGAATAGTTAATAATCATAGTAAGAGAAGAAGAATAGAAAGGAAGGACAGAAGAGTGGGAAACTGAATGTAAAAACTACTGGAAGGAGACTGAAAACAGAAGAAGTGTCAGGATACATCTTAAGAATACTTTTGAATTATGTGAAAGCAGAGGGGAAAAAATCTTCCACATTTAGAGCTTCCGGATCAGCAAATTCTGCTAGAACTGTTTAAGGTTGAATTATGATAACTGCAGCTCTTGACTGTCATTGTCAGAAGTTGGAATTGCTGAACTTCCTGTGTCAGGGAAATCACAGTGTTAAGAATATATCAATTTCCATAAAGAGATTAGCTACTACTAGGAAATTATCAGTAACCACATTACATCAACTCTGTTTCAGCTATTTTGTGATCTGCACTGCTGCTTGTGATGGATAGAGTTTGGTCATTATCAGTTCTTGTGGGAAATGTTAATTATGAGTAAAAAAAATTGGAGCACTTCAAATGCACATGAACAATGAGAAGGGGCATTTTATCATACTTACTGGATGTGGTGTAAAGCCAGAAAATTTTGGATTCAAATACATAGACTGATTCAGGGGATTTTGAAGTTTAATATACAATTAAGACTAGAGGTCAGTCTTTTGGGACTGAAGGACAGTTGGAAAAAAAAGTCATGGAATTTTGTTTTTGTATATGATTCCTGCAGCAAGACTGTTATATGCACAAAGATGCAAAGATTTAGTATTACCCACAATAGAGGAATGGGTGATGAAAGTGATGGAACTTGTTAAGATGGCCAAATTGATTTCTTTATTAAAGAAATGACAATAACTGTTTATTGCTGACTGGAAATCCCTTGTGTGCGTTTTGTGGAAAACATTAAAAAATGACCTTATGATTTATGGATTTGATGATTAGACAGAAAAGAGACATGTAACTTTAGAGAAAGTTATAATAAAATAATAAATAATAAAATATACATTTATAATTGTACTTAACTGCAGTAAAGATCAGAAACCACTTTGTATCTTTTTTCTTTCTTTTCACTTTTTTCTTTTTTCTTCCTTGCTTTAAGTTAGTTTGTATTAGTTTTTCTTTCTTTTTAAAATCTTTGACAACATTATTAAAATAAAGAGTAGGAAACCAGAGAACCTGTCTGCTCCACATGGTTGTTCCTTTCTGAAGTTAGTGATAGTTTAGGACTTTCTGCTAGATTGTCAAGCAGGTGCCTTTGTTCTGCCCTCTCTGCCACATGTATGCACATATACATGATTCTTCATACAGTGTGATGGCAAGTCTATTTAATATGAGGGCTTCCATATAAGGCTTTGTGGCTTTCAGTGTTTCATAGAAAATAGATTCTTGTAGGGTAACAAATACATTAGGGTATATGATTTCATAGGTTTAATCTGTTCATGAATTTGCATACTCTGAAATATATTCTACCTTGTGTAATTGTGAAATGTAACAGTGCTTAAGATACCATAGGAATCTGTGCTATTATTTTTCTGTAGCAAATTAACAAAATTACATCCCTGAGATGTTTTAATTTGCAAAGAATTTTTAAAGTCCCCTGCAAATTTAAAACAAAAATCCTGGGGATGCAAATGAGAACTTTAGGATACTCTCTCCCGTTTTTATTTGTCTTGAAAGTGTATTTCTCTGTTCCATTTTTGTGTCATCTCAATGATCTGCTGTGGACTTATGCTCATGATGTGCATGAGCTGGGAAGAGGATGCTAGTGGCCTTGATGCCTTCAAGGTCTTACTTTTCATTTCTTATCTTCCTATCACAGGATTTGCCCCAACACCACCATATCTGCATAAATCAGGGGTAGTCAAGCTTAGTTGGCTCAGGAATTCTGGGAGTTGAAGTCCACGAGTCATAAAAGAGCCAAGGTTGACTACCCCTGGCATAAATGAATACTTTGTTTGATTAAATTGTATCAGCTGTGTTTTCTTTAGGTTGCCAGCTTCTTCCAGGACAAGGAAAATTAGTCTTTTAATAATGAACTAATCTTAAATGTGAATATTCTGACCTCAGTAATTCCCTATCTCAGTGGTTTGCAACCTTTTTAATGCCGCGACCCCCCAACCAGTCGTAAGTCGAGGACTATTCAACCAGTCGTAAGTCGAGGACTACTCAACTGGTGCAGCACCGTTTGCAGAATGGGACTTTTGGCGGGCTCAGCAGGGCAGAGACAGCCTGGACAATTCCTATTGGCTTTTGAAAGCCAATAGAATTAGACTCTATTCAAGAGAGTCTATTCTATTGGCTTTCAAAAGCCAATAGAATAAAAGGAAGTAGCACAGCTAAGGAAAAGGGAAAAAAAATGGCGGACTGCGTTGTTTGGCGACCCTCGTGAAATGGTCGTTCGACCCCAAATGGGGTCCCGACCCACAGGTTGAGAACCACTGCCCTATCTGATTTGCTTGAATTGGAAAATTTAGCTTTACTGGAGGAACGGAGCAGAGATTAAGACTAATCCCATATCCTTAAGTTCTGAGGCAAACAATGTCCAGAGGAGGAATGTGGGGTATTTTGCTCTAAAAGCGGTATTGACAAACGCATCACTGGTTAGACACCGGGCAATGAAAGGACGATAATGCTTTAAGAGGACATTGGTGAGAGGGAAAGCCTCAACTCAAACTCTGTGAGTTAGGTTTATTATATTCTTAGGTCATTAAGCTCTTAAAAATCATGGGCCTTGTATAGAAATGTTGGCTTTCGTTAATTTGTCCCATTTTTGTTTTCTGTGTTTCAGAGAACAGATCAAGAGAGTGAAGGACTCTGATGATGTGCCCATGGTGTTGGTGGGGAATAAATGTGATCTTCCTGCCCGGACTGTGGAAACGCGGCAAGCCCAGGAGCTGGCTCGGAGCTATGGGATTCCATACATAGAGACGTCAGCCAAAACTAGACAGGTATACTGAGGTGGGGGGGGGGAGGAAAGTGCAAACAATTCAAACTCACTTTTTTCACTTTCACTCTTGAGGAAAGAATCCACTCCATACTCGCAAGATGTAATCTTCAGGGTTTCTATGGTGAAAAACCAAGCTATCTTCTGGAGAGTCTGTTGAACTTTTCATTTTTGCCCTTGTTAGTCAGAGGGAGATTTTTGGCTCCTTTGCATTGCTTCTGCAATCAGCTGAAGATCTGCTGTGTTGAATCATTGGCCCTGGATTTGAATTGTGTATCAAAGAAACTTAGTTTAAATTCCATCTTTGCTGACTCTCTCTTCTGATAGAAAAATGTCCAACTCATGCCCCTCCAAGGAAATTACATACTTTTCAGAATTGTGTAAACAGATGACTGTTCAGTTTACTTTCTTTGTTTGTATAATCCTGTCGTGGTTGTCTGACTTAGCTGGGCTGGAGCTGGCCCTTAGCGCCATTGAGCCAATAATAGGCATTTACTGTTGGGTTACTAGGGTTCCAGCTGGTAGTTATTGAGCAGGTTGTGTAGTTTCTGCTAATGGTTCCTAGGCAGTGGGGAACAGAAGTGAAAATTACAGCAAGTTTGGATTAAGAGTGGCTTTGTTCCATTAAGATGATGCTGGGACATAACTGGCAGGTAGCCTGGTTTAGCAGTTGTCACTAGCAGTAACAAAGGCAAATGTTCAGCCAACAGTGGTGGGGGAATTCCATACTTTGCTGTTTGTCCAAACTGTACACATATTTGCTGCCAATTTAGGCAGTCAGCTCTCTGGGTCTGAGGTTTGGATTCAAAAGGGGCACTTGGTAAACAGTCACACCATTGTCATGTCTACCAATTCTGCCAGTTATTTCTACAACGTCTACCAGCTCACAATTACATGGTTTCGTGTTTGTAGTTTGGGGAGAAGGAGAGCAGCTTTTATCTCCTTGAATCAAATCCTAGATTAGCTAGTAATGCATTCAGAACTGACCAGCAGTGGAAAACACATGTTTAACTACTCTTGGAAATGTCCTTTCCCTTTGCTTACACACGCAAATACATGATGTTCAAAACACTTCATTAACTTGTTGCAGGGAGTTGAAGATGCCTTCTATACTTTAGTGCGAGAGATCCGGCAGCACAAACTACGTAAATTGAATCCTCCAGATGAAAGTGGTCCAGGCTGCATGAACTGCAAATGTGTAATATCATGACCAAGGTAAGTCACTGGGAGAAAAAGAGCAGTTTTGTTAGCGAAAAAGGCCACTCAGATTATGTACCGAAAAAACTGTTTCCTTTGAACCCATGCGTGGCCCCCATCCCTGCCTTCTTCAGTATTATGAGTCCGATCCCCTTCAAGAAGGCAGAATGTGTCTTGTCAGATACTGGCTACAAAACTGGCCACTTCCTCAAAAGGAAGTCTATTTTTACTACAGTTCTTGAAGGAAAATGCTTTGAATTAGAATGCTACCAAGAATGAGGAGACATTGACCATTTTTTTCTTTATCCACGAGACTGATTTGAATCAAAGCACCTGCATCTGTATTTGCTTTTCTTCTAACTTGGATACCCCGTTTTATATGACTCTTTTTTTTTTTCTTGTTTTCTCTCCTCCTGCTTTTCAAGTTTCTGGCTGATATCTGTTGCTTTTCTCAGGAGAGGTTTGCACTGCTGTCCTCCCATGCCTTAGTCCTGTCTTCCTTTGTGGACAGGTGTCATATATATATATATGTTTTCTGAGGTTTTCGCGGTGTTTGTATGTAGGTCTTTGGTTATTTGGGTTTTCTCCCGCGTAAAATTGGAAGTGTCTTGGCGACGTTTCGACAAAGTCCCATTCGTCATCTTCAGGCTGGTGCTTTCAGCTTCGTGCTGCTCGAAGCACGAAGCTGAAAACACCAGCCTGAAGATGACGAATGGGACTTTGTCGAAACGTCGCCAAGACACTTCCAATTTTACGTGGGAGATTGCTTTGAAGAGCCAAAGTTTGTCCTGGGTTTAATAATAATAATAATGTGTTGGTGGTCAGCATCTATTTGAGAGATTTTATAGGGAGGAATTAATGCCTGACAGCACTCATAATTCAGATATTTAAAATTCATGCTCTGAGACCTGTACTGTACTGAACCCTGTGGTTGAAATACAAATAGAAAACATATTGGAATGATTCCCCCCCCCCCCAGTGTATTTGGTATTTAGTAGAACACTAAGAGAGGAAAATGCATTTGGAAATACATTGTACATAGTTTATAAGATTAGAATTTTAAGAAAAGCTCTTTATTGCCATTATTCAGGAGTCAGGTGTCAATACACACAACACACACACACACACACACCACTCCTATATATTTAATTGTGATGGCTCAGCAGTTAAAGACTGTCATCTGGCAGTCCAGGTTCAAGACTCAAGCGCCATTCAACGGGGTGAGCTCCTGTTACTTGCCCCAGCTCCTGCCCATCTAGGAATTCAAAAACATGCAAAAATGAGTAGATTAACAGGTACCACTTTGATGGGAAGGTAGCAGCTATGACTTTGGCGTATAGCCATGCTGGCCACATGACCATGGAAATGTCTTCGGACAACACTGGCATATATAGAGCCATAGATACACTCTCCTAAATTTCTAAACGTGACTATTAAGACTCACAGTTTTTAAAGGAGTTTGTAAATACAGATTCTTCTGTGTAGCCTAGAACCTCAGTGGAGAGAGGATAGCAGATGAGCAGGAATCAGAGCAATTTCCTCCTTCTATTTTATATATTATAAAAAGAATATTTTATGTATTATAAAAAGAACACTTCCTTCCAAAAAAATTACAGTTGAGAAGTGAAGAGGTGTAAAGTTTCATCAGTTGAGATCTCTCAGCAGGCTTAGTTTTTAACTGTACCTAGCACAGCTGCTATTGTTAAAGTGTGTGTGTGTGTGTGTGTGTGTGTGTGTGTGTGTGTCTGTGTGTCCAGATGTGCAAATAATCCAGATGTTTCAGAGTATTTCCTGTAGCCTGAATGTGAGATGGGGTGGGTGGGAGTAACTTCCTGTGCTCTCACTGCTGAAACTGCAGATTAATCCCAAATGCTTTTTAAAATGCTTGGCTTAAGAGAGAGGCTACTGCCAAAGGCTGAGGGGAGGAGAAAATCCAGTGTCGGCCAAGTGTGTCTTCATTCCTACATCCTTTGCACTACCCACACTGTGTCCTTAAGGCAGAGGCCTGGCCTGCCTGAAATCTTTTCTTTTCACCGAAGAGAACATCACTTGGCAATATTTATCTAGGTGTGGTTTGTGCTCCCTTAAGGAGCGGATGGGAGTTGGTTTTTTCCTCAACTTGTTATAATGTAAGTGGGATCTGGTTTTATGTCAAACAGGGACTTTCCAAGAAGACCCATTCTCTCTGTTAGACTTGGAGAATTATGTCAAGGTGGAGATAAGGAAAAAGCATGGCACATAATAAACATGAAGGTTTTGGACTTTTTCATTTTCCTCTCTGTTCACACTGCCTTTATATCTGCTCTTATTTTTTCATTGTTCTATATTTAATAACAATAATAATAATAATAATCTATCTAATATAAATAAAAATGTAATGTTCGTTTGTTCAAAATCTTAAATCTCCGAAAGTTCTTCACCGATTGCTTTGAAGTTTTGACACAACGTTGCATTCGAATACATGCGTGTTTTTATATACCTACTATTATATAGATGTCACACCTGTGGCAGGTAAAAACATGCTTTTTTGAAAAACAGAGCTGGCAAACCAGACAATCTCTATATCTGCACAGACAATGGAACAACAAAAAATATTGTATACCCGCAAGCATTGTGAAATTAAACATATTACAAACGTGCACTTTCTCTTTTCTTTCTTTTCCATTTAACCAGACTGAGCCACAGCAACGCGTGACTGGGTACAGCTAGTAATAATAATAATAATGTTGGAAGGGACCTTGGAGGTCATCAAGTCCAACCCCCTGCTCAGGCAGGTAACCCTATACCATTTCGGACAAATGGCTGTCCAGTTTTTTTCTTTAAAACTTCCAGTGTTGGAGCATTCACCGCTTCTGGAGGCAGGTTAATTGTTCTAACTGTCAGGAAGTTTCTCCTTAGTTCTAGGTTGCTTCTCTCCTTGATTAGTTTCCATCCGTTGCTTCTTGTCCTGCCTTCAGGTGCTTTGGAGAATAGCTTGACTTCCTCTTCTCCGTGGCAGCCCGAGATATTGGGACACTGCTATCATGTCCCCCCTCGTCCTTCTCTTCATTAAACTAGACATACCAATTCCAGCAGCCTTTCCTTATATGTTTTAACTGCCAGTCCCCTAATCTTCTTTATTGCTCTTGTCTGTACTCTTTCTAGAGTCTCAACATCTTTTTTACATCGTGGTGACCAAAACTGGATGCAGTATTCCAAGTGTGGCCTTACCAAGGCATTGTAGAGTGGTATTAATACTTCACGTGATCTTGATTCTTTCCCTCTGTTAATTTGTACAGTATATGTATTTTATTTTATTTATATAATACACTTACAAACTTGCCTATATTATTTTTATAAATGACTCAAGGAGGCTAATGTCCTTTCTTCCTTCTATTTTTTCCCACTACATCCCTGTGAGGTGAGTTGCGATGAGAGACAGTGTCTGGCCCAAAGTCACCCAGCTGGCTTTTTATGCCTAAGGTGGGACTAGAATTCACAGTCTCCTGGTGCCTCTATACCTCTATACCAGGGGTGTCAAACTCGCAACATCACGTGATGTGTCATGACGTATCGCGACTTTTTCCCCATTGCCAGAGCTGGGGTGGCTGTGGTTTCAGCATGACGCATATGGGCCAGCAGTTTGACACCTCTGCTCTATATCAAACTGGGTGTCGTGTTCTTCGTGGTGAAACCACTTGAAGGAGACATTATCATTGTCTTTGCATTAGTGTTTGAGCCATTTCTGTTCACATCAGCTTCTGAAGAGTTGGGCACAGGGCACATTTGAGTGCCCTATGCCCACATGTGGTTTGAGAAGAGTATGCTTTGAGCTTAGCAGCAGCACATGTGGTTCAGGCCTAGGAGGATTGCCTTATTATGTTAGTTTGCCTTGAGGAAGTACTCGGCTATAGGTATGCATATTTTACATTTCTTTGGGACTGACTCAACTGTATGCTGTGCTTGAGCTCTTCTCCCATTTCATAGCTCCCCAAAGTATGCCATTGCAACACTATAAAGGATTATATGGTGTTTATTTCAGTCATGGGAATCTGATCTTACACAAAATAATAATTATTAATATAAAAGATAAGCTAGGCATATACATACTAGTCTCTGCACTACTGAACCCAAATCAGAATTCAAATATATTTATTTTATTTATATCCTGCCTTTGTTATTTTTATAAACAACTCAAGGTGGCATGTGTAATGCTCCTTCTTCCTATTTTCCCCACAACAACCACCCTGTGAGGTAGATTGGGCTGAGATGGGCGAGTGACTCAAAGACACTCAGCCAGTTTTCCTGCCTAAGATACGGCTAGAACTCAGGGTTTCCTGGTTTCTAGCCTGGTGTCATAACCACTGAACCAATTTGGTGGATGATGCTCTTCTGTCTTATTGTATTAAATCACCAGCCATCAAATTTATGATGGACGAAAGTAAATGTGTATCTATGACATTTCACAGAGCAGGGCTAGCATGTAAATAGAGGTTTGAGGGCCTTGTGCTCTGCATAATAAAGAAACAGTGATACCAGGAGGCTTGCCCACCTGAAAAGGTTCTTATATCTAAAACAGACGAAGATAATATAGATTTACTATATTGCACTATAAGCAAATGAGCACATCCTACAAATCCAATGAATTCATTTCCTGGCGAGCTCAAGAATATGAAGGATTATAATTTTGTAAATCAGAACACTGATGTAATCACAGCATCATCTTGAGGTTAGTAAATAGTACTACAGTCACTTTTTACTTAAACAATGAACTACATGGGTAAGTAAATTTCAACAGTGTCAGCAAAGGACAGTTTGCTTTTCTTTTTTTTGTGGCTCAGCAGTGATCAAGGAAGCAATATCTTAATGAGGTCCATTGTTTGCGTATGGTTAAGCTATCACAATGACTTAATTGGTGTAACAGTTTGGAACCCTCAGAGGCAGTTGTAATCCTCCCCCCCCACATTGGAGACAGTTCACCCATTCACCAGTATGTGAGCGGAGAGGTAGACTGACAACCTGAAGAAAGCTTGAACGAAGTCTAAATTTGGTTTTATGTAGAAAATCAAATGTAGGATTTTCAGTAGTTACTATGTAAGTTCAGCAGATTCAAAATATACTTGGCACTGTAAGTTGCCACTGGCTCTTTTACAACACCACAAATGTATTGCTCTGTGAAATGCTACTGTGGGAGAGCAAAATGCTTCTCTTCTAAGCATTAACCACTTGCTGCTGAGCTACTGTTTCTGCATACCATGTTAAGTGCAAAAATGCCTGGGGGGGGGTATATTATCCACAATCAAACTACTCAGTTCTTGAACAAGAGCAGCAAGCAGTCGGATTGAGAACTGCTATCCTATGAAGCAAATACACACTGGTGTATAGATTTATCTCCCACTCATGGTTAACAAAATTCTGACATCAATATAACCAATATACATGCACGCACGCATGCATGCATACATAGCATAATTTCCCCCTTCAGGAATGTGTGACTGGGATTAATCTTGAAATAATTTCAGCACACCAACACACACTACCCTTGGCATTTTAAATTGATCCCTTCGGTTACTTTTTTCTGTACTATCTAATAGTTTAATTATTTCATGTACTATATTGATCTGTTGTAATTTTTGTACTCTTGATTTTGTTGTTGAATTGCATAAATAAGCAACTTTTTGTAAAAGGCTTTTCATTTTGTTTTACTCTTCACCTTTTCTGTTTGCAGTGGACCAGATGTGACTTGGAAGGCTTTCTACTGTGTGTAGCATGGAGATGGAGGCGATGTGAAAATAGAATCAAATGGATTTGGGGAAAGGAAAGATGGGGTGATGTCTGCAGGCCCCCCCAAGGGCTCCACATGGACAGTTTTAAAAATTCACCAAGGCCTGCAAGGAACTGTTTTATTGTTTAAATCTCCCCCCCTTTTTTGCCTTTCCCCCCCTTCCTGGCAGTGTGTACAAAGCCACATAAGGAATTGCAGTAAGTTATTATTTGGTGGTCTTGACACTGGTTTTGCCATCTCTATCATTGTTCCAAGGGATTGAGTGTCTGAAAGGTGGCTCATGCAGGGAAAGACCCATCTTTTGTTTCTTCAATCAGCTTGAGATCAGCTCACCAAGAGCAAAGCCTGGGCGCATCTGCAGGCGGACTGGTTTCCCACTTTGGTGCTCCAAGGCATGCAAGACAGGGAGCAAACCCTGTAATTCCCAGCTTGGAGGGCTCCATCTGAAAGAAAGCTAGCTGTTGTCAGCAGAAGACCAAGTCTCTTTGGAAGGCACAGCCAAGAAGATTCACTTGTCTGTCATTCCATGGGGGGGGGGGAGAGAAAATGCTCTGAGTTTTAGGAAGTGGGTAGGAAAAGGCATAAAAATAATTATACCTGTAGCTGTTCATGGAACATAGTTCCACGTGTCTCCACCCATTGATTTATCTCTGTGTAAACAGGAAAGATAATTACGCCTCTTACTTTGGGCTAATATTGTCTCCCCTGTGCTAGAACAACCCAGTCGTTGTCCTTGCAGAGAGATGATGTTCAGTCTGTTGGACATCTCTTCAGGCCTGGCCATTATCTTCAAGAGTCCTTGAGAAGGGGTGGAGGGAAAGAGGGGTGCCAGTTTTTAGATTTGCCTTTTTTCTCCTTCCTTTTTATGGTGCTGGGAGAATGTGTAAACATATAAATTGTCTTTACCTGAACCTGTTGATGGAGATTGAAGGATCTTGGATTTTCCAACTCTGAATTGAGCCCAACCTTTGCTCATTCCGTGCTGCATCAAAGGGAAACAGTCCCTCCTCCTTATATCTTTAGGGGGCATGGGAAGCTTTTTGTATTTTTTTTTTCCCACAACCTTTGTGTCTTACAGGCTGACTGGGAAGAATTATCCAGTGGGCAAGAAAGGGTGACTTGTATGTAGGCTTTCCTGTTTGTTGTTGGCATGGTCTTCCCCCTCCCCCCCCCCGACTCCCCAAGATTTCTATGCTTGTTGCCTGTGTCAAGGCTGTCTTCCCTAGTGTGCTTCTTGCAACATTTGTGTACTAACCTGGAGGTGGAGCTGGTCTTTGGAGACATGGGAGCCTGTTTCCGTGTTCCTGCTCCATTCTCCGTTCTCCCTCGTAGCCGCTGTGCCTACGTAATTGCATGCACAGCTCCAAATCCTGCTGTCAAGGAACAGTTCCTCTGTATTTCTGTGACTACTTGCTGTAATTCAAAGCTTTTCTGGTAAAATACCACAACCAGATCCTCATCACTGGCTGAATTAAAGAAAACCAGCCTAATAATTAGATAACAAGCATGATTTTTTTTTTTAAAAAAAAACAACTGTTGGGAGTATTAAAGAGAACCCAAACCTAGCCTTAAATGTCATTAAAAGCGATTTTGTTCTCAAAAGCGTTGGTGTGCATACTGTACCTTTTTGGATTTATGTTCCTTTTATTCAAACTCCCTGTACTATTTGTCATCCCTGCATTATATCTCAGGATGAAAATAGTTATCGATATTTAAATCCCAAGAAACAGCTTCATTGTCCACACATTTTTGCCACTGAAATATGTGTCTTAAAAAGTAAACATTGGTTTATTTTTGTTAATTGTTTAAAATACCCATTTCATTTCTGGATGAATTTACTATTTGATCAGGTTTTTCTCAACACCAGGCATTCTTAATAGCAGGATGGCTTATTGTCGATGTTGACCAGATATTGAGAGAGGCCTCTGTGTTTATTATAATGGTGCTATCAAGATGAAACACTGAAAATGGTACCATATCATCAGCGTCAGCTCTATAGGCAGCTTATTGAAAAAACCTATCTCAAGAGGTTTTTTTTTTCACTGCTCCAAAAACTTGATCCATTGATTTCTACCAATATAATTCAAAGTACAAATTTAACTAAGCTTAGATCTGCTTTATAATTTGTTATAGAATCTTAGCAGGGCAAGGTGAATTTAAACAAATGGATGATAACTGTACTTCTATCCTAAGGTAGATGTCCAGGAATGTCCTAAGGAGAAACTATAAAGCAGCAGGATTTTTTCCTTTGCTGTTCCCCTCTTGTTAAAATAGCCCATCTTTTCATGGGTTATGAGCTAGCCAGAGAATTTGGCCAAAGCAGAAAGGCAGCCACTTCACAAATTCTACTCTTGGCTTGGGTCCCATCGTTGCTTGTAATGGCTAACAAACTTTAAGCATCTGTTTACATGAAAAAATGAATGTGCCTGAATTAAGGCATTGAAATCTAATTAATAAACCAGATTATTAGGTTTATTAAGTCCAATATGTTGTGGCTGTTAAATAATTGCCTGTTAACAATGCCTAATTATCTGCTACAAAGGGATTTTTCAGCACATCTCTTTTCTCAGAACTATCATTATTGGTGCCTCAACTATTGCTCATTCCTGGTTTATTGACTGTACATTTGGGCAGATAATAAGTAACATGAAAAAACAAGCTTAGTTCAAAACTAAAGTAGGCTTTGGAGCTTCCCCTGTGTATTTTAAGACCACAGTATTTTTAAATGTTTAATTAAGGCATAGTAATTTAGCATAAATTTAACAGCCTTAAAGGTCTATGCTATTAAATTTCAGCAGGCAGCGAAATTCTGTCTTGAGATATTGGAATGCTGTTAGTTCACTTATTTCTGCCACTGCTATGCCCATATAATTGAAGAACTTTGGTTATTTTTTTAATACTATAAAACATTTTTTTAAATGGTACAAAGGGCAAAGCAGTTAAAACCATTACTGAGTTCTCATTAACTAATATAGCCGATTTTACAGTGCAGCACCTGGAGGGCCTGGGTATCTATTCCTTGGGACAAAAGACAGTTCTAATAGGCTACTATGGTATGAATGTTTTATACTACAATTCTTTGTACCTAGGATAACCAAACTTCAGATTTTATGTCCTTTTTTAATGTTTTAGAAAGTCCAATGCTTTCTCACCAGAATGTCCATTAAATCTGTCCACCACTTTTCCCCTGCATAAAAGGATACATCAGGCTTCCCTCCTCCCTCTTGTTTTTCCAAGCAATCTGCCCCTCCTACCTCTGGCCGGCTCACCTGGAAATCAGCACCAACACTACCCACCTCATTTTTCAATCTCTAGTTAGTTTATGAAAACACTGGAGCTGGACATTTTAAAAAAAAACCCACAATGATAGCTTTTGTAAACAAATTGCATTGTTACATAACAACTGTCCAAATTTGGGAATGCTCTGTTTCCCTATGTTTCTGTAGTGTAAAGGTAAATCAATTGTATTGTACATAGGATTGCAGTCTCTAAAACCTAAGTCTATCACCAGCATAGAACATTTGCACACACACAAAAAAACATTTTTTGAGGGGAAAAGCACATGTGGGTATTGTAAAAGCACACCTGGAGTTAAATACATTTACCTGTATTATACACTATCCAGGCTTATTTGCAGTATTTTAACTTAAAAACTGAAGGAGCGGATTGATGTTAAAAAATAGGGATGCCACATTTTGGCTACCAAAGTTTGGCAAATAAATGCAGAAAATATATAAAATGACTCAGAAAGATAAAAAAATCATGAATCTATCTTTCAAAAGTATACAAAATTTGAAATTATATTTACAGATGAGTGAAGCAGCAAATACTTAACTGGGAAATTGGCTTTATCAAGGTTTTTCTCCCCTACGTAGGCTCACAGTACTTTCTTATTTACACATTTTAACTTCTGTTCTCTGTAGTTTCAGGAAACGGTAGCTTGTTCTTTTTAAATATGTTTTGCTAAACGTGCCCTTATTTTTTATCTTCTGTAAATTAATTGTACCAATATAGCTGTGATTTTAGATTTGCATAATATAGTGGATATAGTCTATACATCCTTATTAAAATGCCATGTTTTGAGATGTAAAAAAAAAACCAGACCAAGATAAATCACTCCAGATTTCCTCCCCCCCTTTAATATAACATAATGTACAATTCAATTGAAAAAACTGAAATATTTTAAAGAGAAAAACTTAATGCTGTTTAATTTAATTAGTTTAATTTCATTTAATTAGTTTAAGGCTGTGCATCTTTATGCAACCCAAAAAAATAATAAACATTTTAATTTGGTTGCATAAAGATGCACAGCCTTAAACTAATAACTTTGTTGAAGCACCTTTTGATCTTATTAACAGCATTCAGAAGTCTGAGAGCCTATCAGCCTGGCACATCTTGCCTTGGGAATCTTTGCTCATTCTTCCTTGCAAAAGCGCTCCAAATCTATCAGATTCAGGTCCAGCCTTTGACAGAGCCTTTCCAAAATTCTGGTGAAGCCATTGTTTTGATTTGGAGGCATGCTTTGGGTCATTTGTTATTTTGAAGGGTGAAATTTATCTTTAGCATTTTGGCAGAGGCCTCAAGGTTTTGGCCCCAAATTGACTGATATTTGGAACTGTTCGCAATTCCTTCTACCTTGACTAAAGCACCATTTCCAACTGAAGAAAAGGAGCCTCAAGGCACAATATTGCCACCACTATGCTTCACTGTGGGGATGGTATAATTCTGGTGATGTGCTGTGTTTTTGTACCAAACATACTTTTTGGAATTATGGCCAGAAAATTCAACCTTGCTGTCATGAGACTATAGAATACATTTTCTCACACATGCTTTTGTCATATTTGATGTAGGTTTTTGCAAAACATAGCTATTTTTTTTCTTTGTAACCATCTTTTCCATCTTGCAACCATACCCCGCAGCCGACATATGAAGAATACGGAGATTGTTGTCCTTTAATGTTGCTATAGGCCAGTGATGGCAAACCTTTTAGAGACCGAGTGCCCAAACTGCAATCCAAAAGCTACTTATGTATCGTTGGGTGCTGGGTGGGAGTGGCCCATTGGGTAGGCATGGCTGCAGCGGTAACAGCAGACTGGGTGGGACTAATAAGTTCAATCAATCAATTCCAACTTTGCAAGATTTTTTTTCCTCGTGAGAAGTTGAAATTGACTGATTGAACCTTTTTTTTTTGTACACGGCGGCAGAGGCCTAAAGCAAAAAGGTTTTATAAAACCCAGCTGAAAGCCTAGGACTGGAGCGACAGCATGCGTGCCCACAGAGAGGGTGCCAGAGGTTCGCCACCACTGCTATAGGCCTCTTGGAAGCTTCAAGGATCAGTTTTCTTTTTTTAAAAAATCAATTTTGGAGGGACATCCAGTTCTTGGTAATATTAGTCACAGTTGTGCCATAGTCTCTTGACTTGTTGTCTTCACTGTGTTCTGTGGTACATTCAATGCCTTGGAGAAGTTTTTTGAACTCTTTTCCTAACATATCTTCCAACAATGAGAACCCTTTGATGGACTTGATCAGAGTCATTTTAATTGATGGTAGGTGTGTACTGAGTACTATTTAATTTCAGTGTGAATGTGATTGGTTAATTCTGAACACAGGCACATCCCTACTTATAAGGAGGTGCACACACTTATGCAACCACATTTTTGTTTTTAATTTTTCCTTCTAAAAGATTTCAGTTTCAATTGAATTGTACAGCTTACATGTTATATTAAAGGTGGGAAAATCTCTGAAGTAATTTATCTTGGTCTGATATTTTTACATTCCAAAAACCTGGCATTTTAACAGGAGTGTGTAGACCAGGAGTCTTCAAACTTGGCCCTTTTATGACTTGTGGGCTTCAACTCCCAGAATTCGTCACACTGGCTGAGGAATTCTGGGAGTTGAAGTCCACAAGTCATAAAAGGGCCAAGTTTGAAGACCCCTGGTGTAGACTTTATAGCCACTCTAGGTACCTGTCTACAGACTATGCTCTGCCATTGTTGTCAGTGCCCATAAAAAGTTGCTGACAAGAACAGAAACGGCAGTAAGCCAAACTATACGTGTTGAGTATGCAGTTGTATGCAAAAGCTGAAAAGAAGCCGAGTGTTCCCACAAACAATAGTTTGAAACACACAGCTCCAGCAGACCATAAAATCCTGGCAGGAAACAGGAAAACTATTACAATGGCTTTCACAGCCCCCCAGATGTGAATTTTATTGAAAACCTATGGGCAGATTTCAAGCATGCAGTCACTGGAGGGAAACCTAAACATACTCCTGAGCTAGAAGAGTGGAGAAAAAAAATTAGAAGGGCTTTTAGCTGTCTACAGGAAATGCTGGGAAACTCTTATTTCTGGCAAAGGAGTTAAAGGGTGATCAAACTTTTGCACCTGCCAGACCCACTGGTGCCTTGATCTTGAATCTTCAGCTAATAGACCATCACGTTGGCAGAAAGGTAGGTTTACCGTTGCAATATTTAGAGATTGGATTCGTTTTTGTACACTTAAGAGATTTGTTGAAAAAAATTGATCCCAGGTACCTAAACCTTTGTACACAATTGTAAAACGTATTGCATGGAAGGGATTTCAGATTAACTTTTACATGGCAGATGTATTGTTACAGGGGTCTCAAACATTTTCAAGCTGGGGAATTTGTCTATGGAAATGAGCAATCATTATTGTCCACCAATGATTATCTAAAAAAAAAATCCATGAAGTATCCTGATCAAGTTTCAATTCTTTCTCACAGAGCTGTGAATTATTGGTGGAATTCTTCATTTATGTCATATATCTGTAAGGCGGCTTTCCTGCTGCTGTGGCCAACTGAGCTTAGGTTAAATTCAATAGTGAAACCCGAGTTTCCAGTTGGAAATCAACATTATTATTCATGGAAATCAACATTATCATTCACGGTTCCCCATCTTGTGAGGGAGACAGCAAAGACCTTGCTGCAATTAAATGAGAAGACTAGGAATTTTGCTGTTGTCACATGAATGATACAACTCTGGTCTTTGCAGAAAGTGTCACAAGGTATTATCTTCCTACAGAATAAGCCTGAAAACATGAACATTGTGCTGACAAGCGTGTTTCATTTTATGATTTCCAAGAAAATGTTTGAATACAACTATAGCTGCAAGCAATGATCCAACAATTTCCATTGCAATCTTTCCTTGCAGCATCAGCTTGTCTACAGTGCGGTTTAGCGGATTGTCACATGGCTAAATATTGTCACAACCCAAACTCTTGTTAAACTAAATCCACAAGATGAGCAGGAATGGATCATACTTGGACCGCCATCCCTCCAGTGATGGCATCTGACTGAGTAGTTTAGCTCACCTTTGCCCAAAAACTCAGCATACCAGAGGACAGACTGGTAGTTTGCCAAAAATTCCCAGAGAGCAAGTAAAGAATCCACATGCAGCAATTTGTTTTAAAGTCTGACATATTGCAACCATGTAAAACACAGCTTTTCAACATCCTGTACAATCCTTTTGGACCTGTTTTTTAAAAAATGAATTCTTCTGCTTTACCTTCTCCCAAGCAGACACAAAAGAAAATGATGGCAAGACTACATCACACAGAATTACCAAGGGAACTGGTGTCAAGAGTAGTTGTTAACATGGGACATTTTAGGGTGATAGCGGCAGCACAGCTATCAAAGTGCACAAATGGGGCTATCTACTGAACTGCAGGGCATTCCAAGTTTCAGTAGTGGGAAAGTGTCCAGAATCCAGAGCTGAATCCCTGCCTCGTGCTTCCACTATTCTGGTGCAAGAATTGGAGCTGGTCCTCCGAGATAACATTAGAGTTTAAAATGAAATACATATTAAATCACACACTCTGCTTAGGGAATCAGGGGCGGAAGTTGTTTTCCTGAGTTTCTGAAGGAATATTGTTTCTCTTACTGAGGAACATTTAGACACGCTTGGTTCAAGGGCTGCTCAAATATTTGCTTCTGTGCAGGAGCTCAGCTGCTTTGCACTAACAACTTGCTACACCTCCTCAAAGTGGAGATGATGCCTCTAATGCTGCCAGAATACCTTTTCTATCCTAACTAGCTTTAGTAATGAATTCTCCCAAAATAGGGGTTGTATGATTAAACCTCATGATCTCACTGGAATGCATGGGTTGGTTTCCTTAACATCCTAATCACAGTATATTTAATCATTTTTAGGCACTCCAGCTGAATTCCTTAGCACAAGAGCACACTTGAGAAGTACTGAAAATTTCCCTGGGATATTTGACTGTGTTGTGGTGAAACTATTTCAAGATTTGTTTTATCCTGTAACCCACAAGTTAAAAGATGGTTGGACAACTGCGAAGTTTGACTGCTCCCTTCATATCACTTGCAAACTGAAACATCACCCCAGCTTTGGATACAGTTCCAATATTGTTCTTGTGGGACATGCTTGTTGGTTTAGAGTGGCATGGAAATGGCATTAGGTCCATTTAATGCTTCTTTCCTTTTGCAAAGGCTCCTTTCACATTATCTTTGGAATAAATGGAGAAAAGAGAAGGAGGAAAAGAAGGAGGTGAAAGAAGAATAGATGGATTGGGCATTGAGAGGATTAAGAGAATAACTAGACATTACTCTTGATTTCCAAAATACCTTAGATTTTCATTTCACTCATAGGAAGGACATCTTTTTGGCTCAGAAGTTAAACTGGGAAGCCTTAAACACTAGCTTCCAATTTTACTTTGGTGGCTGCACTACTAGAAAATGCTACATCTTAAAGCACATCTAAAACTATAGTTTATTCAGGTTTTAAACATCTGCTCAACTGTAATCATATGAATCTTTTCATAATACAGTATGCAGTGTGATACATGCCTACATGTAAAGCTATATTTGAATTGCTAACATAAATAAGATGGGTACAATTTTAAATAATATGCACATGGATGAGTAACCTGTCTCATCTTTTAGGCAGTAACTACTTTCATTTAGGAAACAAATTTTCTTCTGTAACTTTACACAAGATTAATACCATTAATAAGATTAACCGTTGCATGGCCAAATAGGTTTGTGTGTATGTGTGTTGTTCTCTGGATTCAAAGTATTGTCTTCCCCAATATTAAAGAGAATACATTATGCCTTGAGAATGTTTCTTTCTTGGACTCCACCTAAAAGGCATGCTGATAAAATTAAATTTTGTGGGTAAATTGTTTTGGCATCTGGATTTGCTTCAAAGATAGACTACTCAATCAAAAAATGCTGTATCTTTTCAAGGTACGTAAGCAAATTATTTGTCTTCCTGTCATAGTCCATTCTTTCAAAGAATAGAAGCTTCTGGATCTCTTTCAGCTACAGTTCAACATTTTAGTAGGGTGCTTTGTTCTAGAGTTTCAAGTCTTTGGTCCCTTTTGCCAAAAAAAAAAAAAAAAAAAAAAAGACATCCAGACAGCAATATGGGGTAGCTTTTGTTTTTGTGTTCTGAAGGATATCAGTATTTTCCTATGAAGTAGCATTTGGAGAAGAGCTTATTTTTCTGACCATTAACTACTCCTTTTTGTAATTGGGAAAATATGGTTCTAATTAGCCAATGAGTCAGCACTAAGGCAATTTTGCAGAATGGGGAGTGTGTTAACATTGCAACTATATGTTGAATAAGGCCTGTGATATCAATGGTTTTGTTTTTTTAAACACAATTTCCTACCAGGTGCCTCTCTACTGAAAACTCAAGCTCTGCACCTGGCCTCACAATTCAGCAAGTCTTGCTCAAATATAGTGGGGAATGGCACCAACGTCCTTCTCCTATGTCTCTGGAAGAAAATTAGAAGACCACAGCAACTGAAGGGCCAAAAGAAAGCCCTTAAAAGTGAGTCTCCAGCAGTCTGGGGCTGAAAAACGTAATCAAGTTCCATTTGGGAGCAAGTGAAAAAGATCCAAAATGCTTCGCTGGTATAAAATTTGCTTATGGACAAGAGTGAGAGGTCACAAGGTAGCTGGCAAGCAAAGGCTGAAGGAGTGAGTTTCGAGTACCACACACACACGCACACACACACAAAACAACAGAAGTGAAAACACCCAAGCAAATAGGCTTTGCTGCCTCAGAAGACAATATCTGCATGTCTTTGACACAGAGGAATGCCACTTGCCCTTTCAACAATTCTAAACCCCATCTTGTTCCAGAAATTCGTTACAAGTTGAACATTTGAACACATTGGGAAATCTAAACCAACATTTCTTTAACTTGGACATCAGCTAAGCTTAAAAAAAAAAAAAAGCAGCAACCAAAAAGTGAAAAAGAAAAAAAAAAACTCCAGCAAAGAACATTTTCTAGTCTGGTGCTGCCTGAGTAGGTATAGAACAGAAGGCATAAATTAAAAATATTCAACTGTCCAAGCTTAGATGGAGCAAAGTTTGTTCCTTCCCCTTTCCAACTACAAGTTTACAATAATAGATAACATTGAACTTTTCACAGCAGGGACCTTCGAACTTGGTTCTTTTATGACTTCTGGACTTCAACTCCTAGCACGCTGCCTGGCACGCTGGCTGAGGGATTCTGGTAGTTGAAGTCCACAAGTCATAAAAGGACCAAGTTTGAAGACTGCTGCTTTACATGTTCTTGAAGTATATTTCCCATCATCTTCAACCTAAGGACATGCAAATTGGAGCCCAGAATCTGGATGGGCACGGAATTGCCACCCCACTTTACAATATGCATCTTAAAGTAACACTACACCTTGCCTGTTACAATTCCTTGACTTGTCCATTAGTTATTCTTGCAGTGGGAAATATGTGTCACAGGCTTAAGGCATGGAGGTATTTAATGTGCATCTGATGCTGCAAAATGTAATTGATGTAAAAAAAAAAAGCATGCACTGCAGAATTACAATAGTCTGAATGTGTTATCACACCTTATTAAAAACAATAGGAATCATAATTGCAGAAAAACTGAAAATCCAGACTACAAAATATTTCTCATTAACCAAAGAGGATCCCATCTTCTGCTTCTGTTAAATTTAACTGCTATTAATGCAGCCATGAGTTTTGCATGCTTTGAGGAAAATCTCAGCTGGATTATAAATCAAATAAAAGCTCTGAATCTTTACCCTTGGGAACTGCATCCTGGAGAAACCGAGATGGATTATTTTTACAATTGTGTAGCAGCTAGGGAAGATATAAACTTGATCAAAGACTCTACTTTGAGGAATTGTCTTAGCTACCAATATTTTCTCTATATTTCTCCTTCTGAAATCAGTACAAGAACTGTTTATTAATTAACACAATACTCATCTAAGGTAAAAGAGTATTTCCAATGGGCTGACAATGGCATGAGGGCAAGTAAGATGCCACAACTTTCTTAGGATGTGAAAGTTGCATTGTAGTGCAATTAGAACACTTCTTGCATTCCAAATTAATACTTCCTGTTATAGATCCTTATAAGATCCATGCTCATAAACAAGTTGAGGATTGAGCAAAAGTTGAGAAACATATGATAGCATATTGCAAACTATCTTCCTCACTATCTTGATTTCTCTCTGAAGCTATCCATGGGTCTGTAACATATTGAAGAGTTCAACTGAAGAAAGTACTGCTGAGATCTCCTTTCTCTAATAAATCATTGTAAACAAGGAGGTATGGTGGGATGAGAGGAACCAAAATTTTAAAAAGGCATGTCAATTGTCTGGATTTCAGTGAAAGGACACACATATGATGTGTGCTTGATATGCATAGATGCTATGAAAATTAACTTCTCTGGCATATAGTATGCACAGCCTTATATATAATTGTATATTAGCTACAGTGCTAAATTGAAACAAAAACATTAGTATTGCTACTGAAAAAAAAGGTATTACTGGCCCAAATTTGGAACTGACTGGTTTCCTCTTTCTAATGTCCAATTCCTTTTGGACTCACTCTTTTTCTGAATTATGTTTTTAATTTCTCAGCCATAAGGGTTTGGAAACACTGATGTTTTTAGAAAGTTACGAGTTGTTAAAACATTTACCTAGTGAGGAAGAAGATGAGACATACAATTCAAATACTTTGGAGAACAACCCAAATCTTGCAAGAGGCTCTCTGCAGCCTTTAGCTGCCAGCCTGGCTTGGACTGTGAACTTCATTCTGAATTCCTGCATACATTTTGATGAACGAAGTGATCACCTTCCTAATTTTGCTTTAGGCTCTGCCTTCCTTTTCAAACTCTTATGGAAAACATGTGACCCAAATTTCCTCTTTCTCAGTAATTCTAGAATGTGACCGATTTAGACATTTGCCCCATGGGGGAACAGTTTGAAGAGAACTTATTCTCTGAATGTGCTTTGAAAAGCTTGGGCGGTACTTTTGGTTTTTGAAATTCAGGTGAACCACCCGGAACATTTATCAACTTCTGAACACAGTCACCGGCTACCTCAGCTTCCCCAGTGACAAGATTATATTCTTCACCATCCGCTGTATGACAGTGGCTGGTCTCTGGCAAAGGGAGAGCCACTTGCTTTCTGCTCAAGCAGTCTTGCTCTGTGGCGTAAGCCAAATGAAGAGGGGTGGTAGTTTTTATAATTCTGAAGGGGCTGTGTTGATCCTGCAACACAGGAGATGAAATAGGCCGGGCTTGGAGGCCTCCAGGCAGCAAGAAGGCATCACAGTCAGGCTCCGAAAGGACTGGCACGCTGTGACCCTCAGACAATCGCTTGGAATATGGCAGCATGGGGAATGAGGTGAGCTGGCCATCATTTTTTGGCAGGTCTACCAAATCTGTCGCTTCTTGGCTTTGCCTTTGGAGACTGTCTATCTCCCCAAGTGAGGCAGACTTGGGTATAGAACACTTTAATATTGGTGTGCAGAGTTCAGTCTGCGGTATTGAATCTGCCAATTTCTTAGAAGCGGGAGCCTGTTTTTCTTCCTCATCTTCATTTTCAGACAGGTTATCGTACTGAGATACATTAGAAGGTCGACGCTGGCCATCTTGGAAAGGAGGAGAGAGAGCAGCAAATGTTCTAACGCCACATGGCACTATGAGATTTTCTGGCAAGTCATGTGGCATAAAGGGGCTGTCTTCTGCTATAGAAGATGCCTCTGTACGTGGGGGATGCTGTAAATCATCTCTAAGTAAGGCAGCATCTTCAGATACTAAATCCTCAGAGGAGCAAGTTGTGCTCTCATGCTCAAGAGCGGCTGCATTTTGCACAGAGGGTGCTGAATCTAAGTGAGGCAGTGACTCCGATCTCGTTAATGAAGTTGTACTATCAGGGCTGACAGAAAGGTCTGCTTCCAAGGGTTGACCCTGCAAGTGGGACTCCCGGGCAGAATTGTTTGTTGTCTGAGCTTGTAGCACAGGGGGAATAATAGGGTCCCTATCAGATAAAGGAATGTGTTTGTTTTCCTGTAAGCTGCACTTCTCAGTGTTACTGCTTTTTAATGAATTATCCTTCCCATTGTCTGAAGCCACGTGTTGATCTTCCCCCACTGTCTGAATGTTATCTAGCATTATAGGATTCTCCATGGAAGATATTTTATCAGCACTTTCTTCTGTCTGGTACGTTTCAAAGCTTTCATCTGGTTGAAGTTTTTGGAAAGGATTGTTATGCCTATCAGCCAGTTTGTTCTGCAAGGCTGTTCCATTGTGCTCTGGAGAAGCTCTTTCGTGTATTGCCATATTGGAATTTTCAATTCCTTCATTTAGGCAATGAGGATTTTTATCTGGAGAAGATTGTATTATGACATCTTTATCATTGTTGAAGTCACTGACGGCCGTTTTCTGACCATTGTTGGCAATGCTGGATTTCACTGAGAGTAGATTTAGAGAAAGTTCCATCCCTAGAGGTGTTTTGGGGAATTCTTCAGATTTTGCTACAACAAAAAGGTACAAAGGTAAGGACACGCATTAGGCTATTAGTATAAATCCAAAGACAATCATGAAAGGTAGTTACATGGATTGTATTTTGTTTAAGTAATGAAAAGCAAATTAGGCATTGACAGCAACTCTCTAGGGACAACAACCACTGGGATGAGGAAGAGGAATATGAGAATTGTCTCATATTTTGTTGGAACACTTAAAAAGATATCATATATAAGACTCCTGGAGAAGAAGTGGTAGAGCTGATGACTGTGACTAAGAACAAGAAGCGGATACGTAGGTTGGCTCCTTCAACCCTCTTTGGAGAGAATACAAGATTTTTAGATTTTTTTAAATCTCATTTTTATTATTTTTTTAAATAAATAATTCAAGGTGGCAAACATACTCATTACTCCTTTCTCCTCCTTCCCCCCCAATAATAATAAAGGTAGGTTGGGCTGAGAAGGGGTAACTGGTCCAAAGTTACCCAGATGGCTTTCATGCCTAAGGTGGGACTAGATTGCCCATGTCCTCCCTATAGTTGCTCTTCACAAGCAGTTTGCAAGATGGGAGACAACAGAATTTACCATTCTTGCTCCAGCCACAGTGGAGCCTTCAAAGGACTTTAAATTTGTACTTTTTTTTTGCTAACCAACTTTAGAAATTGCATATTAAGTCCTATAAGGCAGGAGTCCCCAACCCCCAGTCCGTGGTACCGGTCTGTGGCATCCCAGAAACTGGTCCGTGCAAACAAGAGAACCCCAACTATTATTATTATTATTATTATTATTATTAGGCAGCACATAAAATCATGCCCCCTCCAGTCCATGAAAGAACCTCTCTCCATGGAACCAGTCCCTAGTGCCCAAAAGGTCGGGGGTCACTGCTTTAAAGAAGTTAGACATCTTCAAAATGATAACGCTGGAAACACTGGGTGAATGCTTAATCCTTAATATAAGAGAATAAAAGCATATTTTTATAAGCTTTAAGAATACAAAATAAACAGCAAAAAAGGTTTTGGCTGTAGAAAATTTTAAATAAATTATAGGCTCAGAAAAAGTTAGAATAGTTGATTTTGAATATTAAGACTCTGAAATTAATTTTAAAAAATAAATGCATTTTTGTGGGAAAGACAAATAACAATATAACAATTTAAGCAACTTATAATGTCATTCAGAGATATTGTTTTGGACTGACAATAAGACTTTGAATTAATACTGTCAGCTATGTTTTTTATGAATACCCTGTTCCCAGAAGAAAGAAGAAGATGCTATTACAGAAAAATTTATCTGACATGATTATGGAGAACCATATGAACAAGTATTTATCACTGGATATAAAAAAATTGAACAAGGATATGAAAATTAAGAAGGAAATAAAAATGTCAATTCAAGAGAGGAATTGGAATAGTTTCTTCCTTCACATAGACTAGCTGCAGCTACATATACTGTATAAATCACAAGACAGTGTGATGGTCAGTCAATCAATTGGTCATTTCAAGAAGCAAACTTCTCCAAGAAAACATAAGTGCTCATGTCCCTTCAGTGTTCCACACTCCTTTCCATTTCTGATTGGTAGACTTCAGCACTTTTAATATTCTCTTTATTGATTACTGCTGTTTTATGGTGTTAGGCCTGGACAGTTTTAATTGTAATGGAAAAGAAACCACTCATTGTTACAGCCACATAGCTTAGTATAATCTACATCCTAGCCGGCAGAAGAAGCACAAGAATTTAGACTAAAGTCTTCATCTACTCTGATCCTGGGATCTTCAAAATGAAACACAGATCTTTTACTCTTGAGTATGATCCCACCTGTAAGAAATTCAGCTCTCCTTTTTCCCTCCAACAGGTAATTGTGAAAATGTAGCTTTTGAAAAGATGCAAAGACTTTTTGAATACAAATTCATACAATGATGCAAAAGATATTGTGGATTAATATTATGATGAAACTAGAATTATTTTCATTGGGTTTTATGGACAAAGAACTAGAAAAGAAATATGGGAAACATATTTTATATGTGACAAGATTATTGTAGATACAAAGATGGAAAAATAATGGAATATCTGCAAATTGGATTGTGAAAATTGATGGAGTTTGTGGAAATGACAAAGCTGACCAGTTTAGTCAAGGAAAAAACAATACAGATATTTCAGAAACACTGGAAGCCTTAACTGGACTTTTTGTTGAAAGAAGAAAAGACTGAATTGATGATTTATGGATTTAGGAATTAAAAACAGTGAAAGAAGAAAGGAAAAGAATAAGATGGCAATACCTCAATAGAAAGAAGGGTAGAAGTTATAATTCTGGGTTTTTTTTCATTTTTTTCTTTTTCTTTTCTATATACTTATTTTTCCTTACTCTTTTAATTTTGTTCCCTTTTATTGTACTGAAAAATTCAAATTAAAAAAGTAGAAAAGAATGCTGTACTTGTGATCATAGTTCCACACTCAGCTAAATTAATTTTGTGAAAGCTGCTCTGTTAGACATGGCATTCAAGCAGATTGAGCTGTTCTCTATTTATCTTAACAGGAATTAAACTTTCTATTCATAACAATCCTTTTTTAAAAAAAATATTGCATAATAGTTTAACTTTGATTTACCTGGAGGTGGAAGATCAAATTTCATTTTGCGCAGTTCTGCCATGGATGCTTGTAAATGCTCAATTACAGTATCATCTTCAAACTGCAGAGAAGCAGCAATTTTTTCTTGCAGAAATTCCCGCAGATCTTCAAGGGTCATTTTCAACAAGCGTTCTAAGCAGGAAACAGAAACATCAGCTGAATAAAGATGCTGCCATTATCCTGACACAATTTCTACTGAATGATATATCTACTGCAGCGGAAGAAAGATGTTATTTAAATAAAGCACGGTAAATTTATGTTTATACACTCATTTTCTGCCTTTGTGATCAAATTGATGTCTTCACATCCATCCTAGTAAGAATTTACAGATGTGTAACTTCAAGACTGTGAAGTTTATATCAATTAAATCCTTTTACATGAATAAAGCCATTCCCAGCATTTGCAGTTATATACAGGATGATTCTGTGGTTCTACCACTAGGAGGAGTAAAGCTACATTCTGCAACTTGATGCAATCTGCAGCTGAAGTTCAACTACTGTACTTGCAAAGGCAATTTGGCCAAGCACGTTTTCATGATTTAAAGAACACTATTTTGCATTTAAAAATGTGAATTAAACTTATCTTGATTTATATTTCATCTCTCAGGAATATTCTATATGCAGTGATCTGTTATGTTTTACAAAATAGAAATCTGGGATTATACTTTCGTTATACGTTCATATAAGACTACATATAAACCATGATTATATTATATTTCACAAGTTCCAAGTATCCTTGGGCTAATGGCCTATTCTCACTTCTGGAATTTTCTAATCTATCTTTACAAGACCATAGGCTGGATTCTGGTCTGTTATATGCAACTTTCTAGGGGCAGGAATCACACATTTGTTTTTTTAAAAAAGGGAAAAAAAGGTAGCTGAGGCTATAGTGAATAGGTGGGTTGCACAAGTAGACAGGATTTTTATTTCTGGTTTGGGAGTTCTATGTTTTCTTGAGAGGGTTTGACCACACTTATGTCATTTTTTCATTTTGCGAAATACCAGCATAAATTATGTCTGTCTCAAGAAGTTTTCGAGCTGCAATAAAAGATATTGAGAGGGAGAGGGTGATCATACTTGCAATGCCAACAGAGGTTTGCCTGTCCCTTAGATACAGAATGCTGCCATTCTAAACTACAAATGTTTAAGATGCCATGAGACTCATTGTTTGTGTTTTGTAATATCAGATTAAGATGGCTTCTTCCTCTGGAATTTGTCAGAAAGGCCTACCTATCACTCTTGTCCCTTTTCTAGCCTCTCCAACCCCCAAATCCCCACCTGATAAACCAAAAAGAGGCCACCTTAAACTCAACCTCTCTTTTATAACTCCTCTCAGGAAGATTTGGTTTTCCATACAAACTTGCCACTGACCTATGGGAATAATAAGAGCATGAATCTTAAGACAGAGTCTTTTTTTTTTTTTGAGGTTTGTGTTTTGTGTACTGTACTCGTTTGTGGAGACCATCTGGTAACCTTTATTGATTGTCTCTAGACCAGGGGTAGGCTCAGGAATTCTGGGAGCTGAAGTCCATGAGTCATAAAAGAGCCAAGGTTGCCTACTCCTGGTTTAGACCAGTGTTTTCAACTGTGGCTACTTGAAGATGTGCGGATTTCAACTCCCAGAATTCCCCAGGATAGCATAGCTGGCTGAGGAATTCCAGGAGTCAAAGTCCCCACATCTTCAAGTAGCCACGGTTGAGGAACATTGGTCTACTAAACTGGATTCCAAATTTCAGTATGGAAATTCAGAGACTTCCAAATGGAGGCAGAGGCAAGGCAGCTTCTGTCACTGTACAACAGATGAATTTGCAGGGACATTTATAGGCAATGCTCATAGGAACAGCAGCACAATCATTTCTTACAGGTAAAGCCACAATATTCAATGCAATTCAAAAGTTATCTTTTTAAAAAACTTAAATTAAGAAATCCTGAAAGAAGCAGAAATACACTATCTCCAGAATAATTCTAGTTTTTCTGAAATGTTATTGTAATAGCAAAGACCCACATGAGTAGATGAATAGTTGTCATGTGGGCAAACAAAATAAGTCCGAAAACTGCCATCTTGTATTTGGAACAATGAAAGCACAACTTTCTGAGCACTTCTGCAGAGCCTTGTCTTTAAAAAATGCTTCTCCTTCTATAAATGTTGTATCAAGTTTTTTTTTTAAAAAAAAAAACCCATTGAATAATCAAACCAACTTCTTACTTTTATGCAATTTGAGAATGGTGTATGCCATAGCTGTTAGAACCCTCTCTCCTTCCAGGATGTAAATATCCCATAGCCTCAGGGTTAGTGTAAACGGAGTCTGTGTATAACATTAAAAAAGAAAAGATGTGACATATTGGCAATATGCAAACCCCAATATAGAGCAGCAGGTCTTTTTAAAATGTTTTCAAGATTAAGACTCAAGTTCATTTTGTGACATATTTTTATAACAATTCAACAAGGAAAGGTGAATATAAATAGTTTCCATCTGGAGGTTATAATCTTAAAAATCAAATCAGACCAATCAGAAATCCTATATTTATCAGTCAAAAATTAGACTAGATTTAATAATAAATTAACATATTGAATTAATTTTACATTACATGGTTTTTCCCTTAGTTTCTCCCCCCCCTTAATTTTAATCTCTGTAATGCATATAGTTCATTCTTAACTGTTTCTTATATCTCACTAATAACATTTAGAACATGAAATTATAATTCTACTTCAAATGAAAATAATTACAAGCAGAAAGACACAATGTAAATGACATTGGAGGAAGCATCTGAAATGCTTGCTCCCCCAATCCCGTACCCGGTCAATGAAGCACTGTAAGAACCACTTAGTTGTATAAATTCCTGTCAACATCTGCTCCTTATCCTAAGAAGGAAGGAGGGAGGAAGAGACAGAGAGAGACAAAATTAAAAAGAAAATCTCATAAAACAAGCAAATTAGAGATCTGTGAACTGTAATTCACATGCTTTCAGGCTCTCAAGATCATCTCCTCATAGATAGTTAGTTACTATCATGCAAGTTACTCTCTGGTTACTCATTCTAATTCTCTTCCATATCTATTTTCTCAGTGGATAGCTAATATGGTTCCCTTTCCCTCTTTTCTTCAATACTATTGTTGTGAGCGTATTATCATTCATTCTTTTGTTACTTTAAGGAGGTTCCTTCAAGATGTCCTTGTAACTGTAGCAGAGTGTATATTTTATCCTTTGTCATTGAGTGTTTTGTTCATACTACCTAAAGCAGTGGTTCTCAACCTTTCTAATGCCGCGACCCCATAATACAGTACCCCATGTTGTGGTGACCCCAACCACTTATACATCACCGGGTGCCAGGGGCATGGCCAAAGGGGGAAAAAATGGCGGACAGCCTTGTCTGGCGACCCCCGTGAAATGGTCATTCGACCCCAAATGGGGTCCCGACCCACAGGTTGAGAACCACTGACCTAAAGGAAATTGATTTTTTAAATTATTAAAAAAAAACCTGACTTCTCATCTTGGTTTACCTTCTCAAAAAGATTGGGCAGTGGGGGGGGGGAGAAAGTGCTATCCCTGGAGATACAACTCAGCTACAAGGACCAGGAGGTGGTGCCACAGAATGTATTTTCCGTATGTTTCTTCATACTACAGGTAATCCCCGAGTTACGAGCGTTCCTTTAGCGAACGTTCGAAGTTACACAATAACCTCCCCCTAGTACTTACGAGCAAGTCCCGAAATTACGAATGTTGCCACACCACGGCAGTCATTCACCCTTAATGAGCGACCGCAGTGGCATTGCAACATTCTGGTTATTTCCTCCCTCTCCACCCCCGCCCGGGTCTCCCTAGGCACTAGGCCAGTGTTGGCGAACCTAAGGTACGGGTGCCAGAGGCGGCACTCAGAGCCCTCTCTGTGGGCACGCACGCCATCACCCCAGTCCTAGGCCTTCAGCTGGGTTTTATAAAACCTTTTCGCTTTAGGCCTCCACTGCTGTGTGCAAAAAAAAAAAAAAGATTCAATCAATCAATCAATTTCAACTTCTCGCAGGAAAAAAAAAGATTTTGCAAAGTTGGAATTGATTGATTGAACTTTTTAGTTCCACCCAGTCTGCCGTTACCATCGCAGCCACGCCCACCCAATGGGCCACACCCAGACGGCACTCGACGATGCATAAGTGGGTTTTGGGTTGCAGTTTGGGCACTCAGTCTCTAAAAGGTTCGCCATCACTGCACTAGGCCTTTGATACTCACCCTGCGAAAACCGAGATTCTTTGGTTTCTTGGCTGTTCCAGGACTTCGGTGTGTTCGCAGAGAAGGGAGGCCTAAAGTAATGCAAGATCATGTGAGATCGGTGGGTGAGATCTCACGCTACTGATCTCGCATGATCTCATGGCACTTTAGGCCTCTGTTCTCTGCAACAGAGAATGGAACTGAAGCCGGGGGATGCTTCCGCATGCTTCCGGAGTCTGGATCTGAGTGCCAGAGGCTTTTTCCAGGCTGCTGCCGCCTGGATCTGAGGCCAGGGGATGCTTCTGTGTGCCTCCAGAGGCCAGATTCAGGTGGCAGCGGCCTGAAAAAGGCTGCCAACACCCGAATCGGGGCTCTGGAGAGCCATGGAAGCATCCCCTGGCCTCAGATCTGGGCAGCAGTGGCCTGGAAAAGGTCTCCAGTGTCTGGATACAGCCTCTGGAGGCACGTGGAAGTGTCCCTCAGCCTCAGATCCAGGTGGCAGCAACAACCACGGCAGAGAGGAAGCAGATATTTTCAAGGTGAGTCTGGCGCGGCAGGAAGGGAGGGTGAAGCATGAGATATCTTAGTGGTTCGGGGAGGCCTTGGGGGCCTGTTCCATCAGTAGGCCCCCCATGGCCTTCCTCACCCTGAGATACGTCATGTGCACTTAACGAGCTGCTTGCATCCTAATGAGCAGGGAATGATCTGGTCGATGTACGAGATTCACTCCCACGAATTTTGAGTTACGAATGGAATGGGCAGGCTCCATTCCATTTGTAACTTGAGGACTACCTGTATTTGCCACAAGGCAAAGGGGCTAGGAGATCCTTGTCTGTCTCATGCACAGAATTAATGGGAGGACCCCTGAGCACACAGTTGATGGCAAGTGTAACTACCGAGTAGTATACCAAGATAGGAAAGTGAGCAAGAGGTTCCTGGGAGAAGTGATATGATTTTCATGCTACAGATTTATTCCTGCTCCTACAGATATATTTTCTAATAATATATTTAGAGATGACACCTTTTCTGGTATTTGATGCAATGAACACTCTAGAAAAGAAGTAATACATGGCAAACAAACAAAAAATATTTCAAAAATGTCTTGAGCAGAAACCAACACATCCTGACATTGCTGCTGTTCCCTTGACAAAAGAAAATCATTACCAAGTGTTTCTTCAACTTTGGGAAAAGCTTGTTTAGGATTGCTTCGTGGTGAGCTTGGAATCTTTGCAACTTTGGAAATCCAGGAATGAAAAAGCCTTTGGCAAAAAAGAAACAAAAGTACTAACAATGAATTAAAAAAATACAGCAGAGCATCTTATGTCATTGCATAATAAGGACTTGAATTTCCTAAGACTTCCAAGGAGCTCTAATGTGTTTCTGAAAATGCATTTTTATATTTCCTACCTATTCATTTCAGAGTTTTGCATTTGGACAAGATCAGGAATTTATGTGTACACAGATCTGTGTATACAGTTGTCCTCTATATATAAACAGTCAAAGCAATCTTATCTATCTTGATTGTATGGAAAGCTGTAAGGATCTTACCTAATGCATAATAAATAGCTTTTCACTCCATTGGGCAAACTTAGGAATCACTCTCAAAGTTTGCCGGATGTGTAGAGAAAAAAGTGTTTTGTGTACATCAGAATCCCTATCCCAATTCTGGTGGCTCATATTTTAAACACAGCCTCCCCACTAGAACTACAACATTATGAAGTTGCAAAACAGCATAAAAGTTCAAAGGTTAATTGACTCCAAGAAGAGCTTACTTGTACATCATGCTTAAATTCAGCAGTAATAAATGCAGGATGAAGAATAAGAAGACTACGAGAAGCACATAAAAAAGGAAGAATCTAGACCAGGGGTAGTCAACCTTGGCTCTTTTATGACTCGTGGACTTCAATTCCCAGAATTCCTGAGCCAGCTGGCTCAGGAATTCTGGGAGTTGAAGTCCATGAGTCATAAAAGAGCTAAGGTTGACTACCCCTGATCTAGACTTTCAGCCAGACTGAACCCAAATACAGAATCATCATACAATAAAGAAACAAGTGAATAAATGAAGGAGTTTGCCACTAAAACCTTACCATGCATTGCATGCCGCTGGTTGGTAAGCAGTTGCGCCAAGGCCCAAAAGGCATCCTCTTCATTCAAATACATCAGCAAGATAGCTGCAATCTGACTCATGCCCTGGCAGTAACTCACTTCCTGGATGATTACACAAGATGAGCAATTTACAGGGTAGAGGGTATTGCACATACAAGCATAAAATGAAACTTTTCCCCTAAATTCACAACATAACCCTAGCATTTTACTTCATTTTTTTCAGATAAAAGCATGATTTGTTATTCAACAGAAAATTTAATTTTGATGGCAAAGTTCACTAATAGACAGTGGGCACTGCCTGGGAGAGGATACAGGAAAAAGAGCTTTACAAAATAGGGCTGGATGACTTCTCTGCAGTCTTGGTTCAACTCCATCAATGGTGTGATGATGCACTTACACATTCTTGTAAGATGTGTGTGCATCAGTACCAGAGTTGCTAGGAAGATTCCATTTCAACCATTCAGTGCAATGGGTAAGGCAGAAATTTCTCCACTTCCACTTTTGAGTTAGAGCTCTTCAACCAAGAAGTACCGTATTTTCCGGCTTATAAGACGACTTTCTAAACCATGAAAATCTTCTCCAAAGTCGGGGGTTGTCTTATACGCCGAGTCGTCTTATACACTGGAAAACACCGTATTTTCCGGCGTATAAGATGACTTTCTAACCATGCAAATCTTCTCCAAAGTCGGGGGTTGTCTTATACGCCGAGTCGTCTTATACGCCGGAAAATACGGTATTTCCTGCCTCACCTTCTGTCCAGCAGCTTGTCAATGTTCAAGCAGCTCCTCTTTGTCTTTCTCTTTAATAACAATTAAGAGGTCCCTCAAATTCTCTGGGAGGTTCAAAAGAATTCCGAATAATATTATCACATTATTTTTAATCCAAAGCCCTTTTTAAAAGTGTAGTTAGAACCAAATATATACAGTAAAAGAGTGGCCAAAGGAAACACTGTTCCTCCAGTCTCATCCTGGGGGGACTGCATAGTGTCAGAAGGAAGAGGCCAAATGTTGTCTTTCCTAAAATCTGAATCTACTGATGTTATATGGGAAGAACCATTTCAGCCTTTGCTTAGAAGGGTTAAAGAGTAGCTGGCTCGTGTCTTCCCTCATCTTCGCTACTGTCAAGATAACAAACCGGTGAATCCTTGGAGGCCCTGATTTAAAACACTCCTTTTGGGAAGACAAACATGTTCAAAGGCCTGGAGAGCTTTTGTAACCCTTGGAAGTAGGCGTCTTCTCCCTTTTTCATTGGATGAAAAGTAGGAAAACTTTGGGGAGAGACTTCTTCAAAATGTTGGGAAAAGGTTGCAGGAAAGCATCAGGATGTATTCACTTTTCAGCAAGGGAGTAGAGCCAGTTGGGATTCAGGGGATCTGGGAGGCTAAGTGTGAAAGTATTCATTCTTGATGTAGAAATTCAACTTGAAATATTTTGTAAACATTTTGACAGCTACGTGAGGAAAACAATGCTATATTTAGATCCTAGAGGAGTCTGTGATACAAAATTAGCCCTAAGACATAAAAAGAACTGTTGTCACTTCTCACATTTTCATGAACTGAAATTATGTAACATGACATTGCAGTGCAACATAAAATAAGAAAAAAGCTCAAAAAAACCCACCCCACTTTAAATTCTTGTAAAGGGAGAAACACCATCTAGGTAAAAGCATAAAAAATGTGTTTCCTGATTCTTGGCTCACCTGAATTAATAGAATTAATTAATTAATTCCATTAATTAAATAAATTAATTAAATTAATTTATTAAATTAATTCCTGCATGTAATTTTAGGACATTGTAATTTCTGTACCCTTTGATTGGAAATAAGTCAAGGGACCAAAACAAATTGGTGTCCTGCACCATGAGGTTATCACTGAACGAAGTTAAGAAAGATCACTTAAAGCAATTAACCATCTGAGTAAAGTCACAACTCTTTGCATAAATAAATAAATAGAGGTTGTGCAAATGATTGCATTTTGTACAGATCTTTTCTTCAGGAAGGACCCTGAACTGAAAGTGATTCCTTTTCTTATTTTTTTAGCCCAAGCACCATGGATTTACACAGCCATTGGAACAAGGATGGGAATATAACATTTAAACAAAAAATCCTTCATAAAAGTGTATACTGGTTTTAGATAAATTCTTTTTTATATATATTTAATATACTTAATGCCATTCTGAAAGTCTGCTTTGCCTTCTTAATCTAATCAATATTAGATTACAATACAGACAATACAACACAGACAAAATCTGTATTGTCAAATAAAAAAACATGTCAGATTCTTTTAATATTCAATTTCTTACCGTGTTGTAAACAGAGTAGGCTGACAGGACATGGAACAAAGCTTGTTGTCTATATTAAAAACAAACAAACAACCAAGTATAATAAGATGGTGTCTCAACATTAGATTTTCAGTACCTTTATAAACCAGCCAAGATGTTCTCTACTAAAAGTGTTTCAGAAATACCTTGCGATTATAGAGCAAATAAGTACAATCAGGAGCAATGTTTCCTGCTCAACTGATAGTCACATTCATCAGACACAGCTCCGGTGCTCTTAAGAGCCTGTCAACAAAGAGAAGGACTTCTGTGTTATTGTAAGTTAACTCCAAACACCATAAAGAGGATGATGTGATTTGCTAGTTTCTGCCTTCCATCCTCTGATGAAATTAGGAAATTAATATGCCAAACTGACCGAGACAATTCTCTGTTCCACAGATAAAAATTTCACCAGCCACAAAAGGTTAAATGAGCTAAACCAACATTTTATTTTCTACATTTGTTTCCTTAAGCTCTTTTCCTAAAATTGTAATCGTGCACTTAATTTTTTCATTGCCACTACTATACAATAACACTATCAGCTCTGTTGCAATCTGGTCATTATATTTTAATTCAGCCTTTCCTTATATAGTTTACTTCCAGTGTAATGAACTAAAAAAACAGCCCCACTGGTTGGGGATGAAAGGAGCTGTAGTCGTACACAACTGATGGAATCTAACTGGGAAATTCTGCTTCGTATTCTTCCCTCATATAATTCAACAAGCATTCGTAGCTGATAGGAAAAGCAAACAGAAACAATCAAAGGTAAAATAATTATTAAATGACAGATAAACAAATGAGATCCACATATAAGACACTTACTTTACACCATAACGGTCCCGAAACATGATGTGGTTTCTAAAAGTGCGATTGACATCCAGATCTATTTGTTTGATTTCTGATGAGAAGCTTCTGGCTTGTTCTTTCATTTTCTGGGCAAATCAGGATGAATTATAGTATTAGAACTTTAAAATCAAAAGTGGAAAAACATTTCTGGTCCTTGGGCTAGATTGCTTCTGGACCAACTTTCCAAAACCTATGTATTTGCCTGCATGGAAGATCTTCATTCTCCAAAACCACAGCAATCTGACGCTACAAGACTCAGCCTCCCATGGTCAGATTGTGTGGTCACAAAAAGACCTCTCTCTTTTTGGTAATTAGAGAGACAGAGAGAGACCTGACCTTGGAGAAAGACTTCTGTCTCCAGAGTTCTGAACTAGAGGGGAAGAGGTCAGGAATTGGTATTAAACCCAGCACTTCATGTCTTCATGTGGTTTTCGACATTATTATTATTATTAGTCATTGGGTTATTTTTCTAATGATTGTTAATGGTTACGTATGTCGCACTGTATGCCAAGTGTGTGGCTATATAAAAGGAAGGAAAGAAGGAAGGAAGGAAGGAAGGAAGGAAGGAAGGAAGGAAGGAAGGAAGGAAGGAAGGAAGGAAGGAAGGAAGGAAGGAAGGAAGGTTCTTTACTGTTCAATTGTCAAAAGCTATAGATAAAATAAGTTTTAGATGCAATCAAGTCAATTTTACAATCCAGCAAGAAAATTCGCCGGCATGACCTTTTTTTGTTTGTAAGTTGGTTAACCAAATTCTGATTTATAGATAGATAATTGGATCGAGAGTTCTTTTGCCCTAGATGGCAGGCATGATTTAAATACATTTACACACATGCAAAACACACAGATGATTAATATATACATATACAAAGTAATATGCACATAAGGCTGGCTCAGGAATTCTGGGAGTTGAAGTCCACGAGTCATAAAAGAGCCAAGGTTGCCTACCCCTGCTCTAGGCTCATGGGATCACCATTTGTAACCTCCCCAGCCAGCTTCTGTCAAGCAAAGTCCATTGGGGAAGCCAGATTCGCTTAACAACTGTACAATTCACTTAACAGCTGCAATGATTCACTTAACAACTGTGGCAAGGGTGGTAAAATGGAATGCAACTCACTTAACAACTGCCTCACTTCGCAATGGGAAATTTTGAGCTTGATTGTGGTTGTTAAGTCGAGGACCACCTATAATGAAGGAAATACTTGAGTACTGCCTTCCTTACAGGTAGGGTTGCCAAGAGAAAAGAAATGGGTAATAAAATGTAGAAAGGTTCACTGATTTCAAAGTACGTCTATGCTCCCATAAACAGATTTCTCTAACTCCAGCTTTATTCTGTATAAATATCAAGTGGCAAAAAGGATAGGAAGGATTATGAATAGCCAATTCTCAGGATTTATGCTCGTCTACGGTCTATTATACTCAAAGTCTTTTAGTTATTGCAGATTCCTCTGGAGCTTAGTTCAACGGCTTATAACTTCTATTTATTCTGATCACTTGCTATGCGACATAGCCAAATAGTAACATCCTGTAAGGAGGTTGCAATAGCCAAGATAAATAGAGAGAAACATGTTCTTAATCTATGTCACTATTTGGTTTTATCTGTCCCACTTCCTTTAACTTGTCACATCATGCTGAATAGATTTTACAATGAATCAAATCACTTATTTCATTTTAAAATGTTGGTGTGTCATCCTTCAAAACCTGGTTAGCATGAACATTAAGGGCATGAGAATTACCTTTGTTTTTAATAGCAAAATAAATATTAAAAATAGTATACGGTTGCATAATATGATGCCACTCCAATGAAGGATCGTGTTTTTTTACCACTTCAATTGGCATAGCAGTTCTGACCCAATCCAGGGAAATGTGTCCAAGCTGGACTAATATAATGACACTTACAGGAGGCTGTCTGTGATTAAGAATCTTCAGCACCCAGTTTTTTAGCCAGGCAAATCCTATTACAACATCACTTGTGTTAAAAATGCATCAATTGTGTTTCTGAATCCAATTCAAATAACTGTTTTTGACTTTTAAAGTTAAATCTTAAAGACTTTTAAAAATGTAAATGTTTAATCCTTAAACTCTAGACCAGGGGTGTCAAACTGCCAGCTCGCAGGATGGATGCATCATCTGGAAGCTGTGCCCACCCCCTTGCCGGCAATGGCAAAATCATCCCGATACAGTTTGACATGTCTGCTCTAGACCATGCCAAAATTACTGAGATTTTTTAAATGGACTAATTTACTTGGCTTTTAGTCTAAAACATTTATTATAAAACTGCCTTTGCTGATATTCCATTCCTTTGTTGTTTAAAGTTAACTGTTTATATTGAGGTGAACCTGTATGCTTTATAATTGAAAGGCATTTTGGAATGATGGCAACCTTGAAAACTGGTCATGTATATTTATTAAAGACACCAATCAATAAATAATGCAATCTCATTAAGCGTAGCTTTTAAAGTCAATTCCATTGTGAATCCTGTTATCTGTGCTGGTGTATCTACTCAGGCAGATTTGTAAGTGGCTCCTGAAGACTTGTGATAAACACAAGGTTTTAAAACTTTAGATTCTATTCCAGATTACCATAGATATGTTTAAGTCAATATTGATGACAGGTCTATTTTAATTTATTTTTTTAGTTGATTTGACTTTTCCTGAAGAAATGCTTTAATTTTTTCAAGTACAGACCTGCAAATGGTGACTTTACTTTTGAAGGAAGGGCTCTTGTTACTTTTAATTAACAAAGAAAGCAGCCATGCTCAAATATATTCCAACAGACGGGAAAGCTGAACAATTCTCTTGCAACCTTGATCTGCCTGCTTTCATAACAAAACCTTTTGGTGGTGTTGTGGGTATTTCTACCATGGCTGGGTTTTAACAGTTCCACAGGATTTGCAAAAGGACTGCTCATCAAAGTATTTGATATTCCAATCAGAAACCTAGAGTGGCAATACTAACTGATTAGGAAGTGGAGCAAAGTTTCTTTGAGGAGACAGGTGTTCAGTGATAGGTGATGGGCAATCAAAGTTCTCTGCAGAGAAATCCTGAAAGGGCAGATATTGATCTAATGCTTTAGCAAAAATGTTACTATTGTCTGACATGTGAAATTGAAATGGACAACGTTTTCCCCCCTCAATGTAAATGCTTATAAACACTGACAAGCAGAGTGAAGAGGAATGTCTCAAGGCTTCCAGACAAAGGAGGATTTTTTTTAATGGTGAGGTTATCTACTGGTCATCAAAAGTTCACCACTGTAGCAAATAGTTCATTGAGTTCATCCTTAGACAGTGCTTGACTTTCTCATTATAATATGTTATGGGGGCTCATGCAGTCAGCTGACCAAAACTATTTGTAAAGCAATAGGTATCAAATTATAAGTCTATACCCCATTTAAGCCAGAGAATTACATTTGTGAAAAGTGGCAGAACTGAAATATTTTTTAAAAAATATATTTTATTGGTTTTTAATTTTAACAAAAAGTACTTAAGACACACCGTGGTGTTTGGGTAAACAAACATTCCAAAGTAAAAAAACATAGATAAACCACTCAACTTAATACATTCACTGTCATCTCTCTATTTCCCACAGATAACATAATAAATTTAATATATTCTATTTCTAACTTAGATTTCCATTACTACTCAACCTGTTTTGAAAACTTTATCAATTTACAATTACCATAATCAAATGGTACTTCGAATATCTCTACCAGATACATTAAAGTTCTTAATCTCTCTCATCCCTCTTTTTATCATCAATCTCATTCATTTCTTCTTCCAATAATAACTAACTTAAGAAAAGAGAAAAAAAATGTTAAACCTTAATTCCTTTCAATTCATTACACAAACTTCAAATTCTATCCAGTTAATTATCATACCTTATCAGATCATATTGTTATACACAAAAATCACCTAATCAATTTAAGCACTGGCAGAACTGCAATATTAACATGCAGTTAGTCAACTACATGTTAGTCAACTGCATGTTAATATTTCAGTTCTGGCACTCTTCACAAATGTAATTCTATGGCTGAAAAGGGGTGTAGACTTATAATTTGATACCTAGTGCTTTACAAATAGTCTTGGTTACTGTTGTCAATTACCTTTAATGGCCAAAGGTTTTCCCACATGCTCTAATGGGAATCAGAACCATTCCTAGCAGGAAGCATGGCTTCTGTCCCTTTGAAATTGTGTTAAGCTGGTCAATGTAGGACGCAAATCGCCTAATCAACTAAATGTAAAGGGAGACCTCACTAGTCTAAGTACTCATTAAGTGACTTCCATCTATTTCAACAGAAGTGAAATTGACATTCCAGCCTTCTAATTCATCTCTGAAGCCTACTAAGTCATCATCTGTGAATACCAGAGAAAGGATTACCTGACAACTCAATGAATGGGAATCTACCAAGTATTGTTGATAACCAACAACACTGTGAAGCACAGGCATCAGACTGCCTGGACACACTTATCACACTGCTGGAGAATTTCTCTCCCAGAGGATTTGCTGCCTGGCCTCACTTGACCCAGCAAGAACCTGGTTGATTTGTCCTTGGACTATCTGAACTATGGCTGTGGCACATTTTCCAGCATAATATTGTTCTGCATTGCAAAACTTTTCAACATGTTAAATTACTTACCCAAACTTATCTGTATGTGGGGGATGGGAAGGTATCTGGGTTAAGAGCTTAATAGAAGAACTCATTTATCAACTAGAATGTAGCTGCAACATTTCCCTTTCCTCCCCAACCTTTGATCTAAAATCCTCTTGGATTGGAGTAGTTTTCAGAGATATAATCTCCAGCATCAGCAGCATATGGATTACTGAAATGAATGCATAAAAGTCCCTGGCTGCTTCTTTCTTTGTAGAAGTAAAACATGCTAAATCTTACTTCTGGGGTGGAAGGTGACTTGTAGGTTTGGATGGTTATAGTCCAGCGTCATCCTAGCCCAGGAATTCATCTCTGAGCACTTAACTTGGATAGTTTTGCCTATTGGGTACAGAGAGCCACTTCTGTTCTTTACAACATTTCCATACTAGAAACCTGAAATTCTGGATTCTGCAAATTCAAATGCCCCAGGTCGGGCATTTGGGAAATCTAACAGCCTTTTCATAATTTCATAATTTTATTTTTTGCTAATTGTGAACTCACTTCTAAGGCCACCACTGATTCCACAGAAAGCCTTTGGGGTAAAGTCTCTTTATCTAGTTTTAGAAAGCCCTGGTTTTGTTCATGGCTGCCCAGAGAGGTGACTGATCTCCTCTTCAAGAAACATGCTGCTTTTATGTGAACAGAATCACTATCCCATTCACGTCAGAGGCACCATTTCTTTAAGGCGCTTCCAGGTTGAAAGGATTAGCTGGTGACATCACTGTTGCCCGGGGGGGGGGGGGGAGACACCTGGCAGAGCTCCTTTTATGTCCCTGTTGAGGAGCTGGAGCAAATAATGGGAGTTCACCTGCCACACAGCAGCACTTGCATTCAGGTCTTGAACATGGGCTTGCTAACCTCCAAACTAGTGTCCTAACCACATGGGCCACTGCACTGCACTGTAAACAGGATTGGGAATGTAGAACACAATGCTCAAAAGTTAAAGGGCATTAATAAGTTTTTCCATGAGGCAGCAACATAATCACAAAAATTTTGGGGGGGATATTTATGGCTAAAAACATTTTTTTCTAATCCTGGGGTGCAGGGAAAAATAATACTGGGTTAGAGACTTGTGTTTATATTCATATTTATTGTATGTGCAGGTAACCATGAGGCTGGTTATTTATTTGGTGTAGCACTTTATAGTGCTATTATGTATTATAAGATACTTTACCTCATACTTCCCTTCATTCTCCATCTTAATCTTTTCAATATCCAGTAAGAGTGACCAGACTTGACCTCGTACTTGGAGGGGGATCCCTTTATAAACTCTGCGGAACATCTATAAATACCAAAAAAAAAAAAAGGTGTGATTATGATCCAATTATCAAGAGCTAACCAAAAACTATTTTCTTCTGAATTTCCTTTGGCAAATGCAACCCAGCATGATTATGCATAGAAAAGAAAATCTGTGTCTTAACATTTAAAGCACAGATTAATAGACATTTTCACTTCAAATATTCTGAGTAGTTTATCAGTTGACTCAAAGTTTGGGTAGAAATCCTGTCCAAAAGATGGGAGTTTCAGGCAATATGTATGCTTATTTACATTTAATTAATGTAATTTGTATATAGTAGTTTGTCACAAAAGTACATCTTGATGAGTCATTGGCAACACTAGTTGGTGTTGATACAATATGAAAGCACCTGCTGATGCATCATTGACTCCCCCAATCTCAAGACTGAACATAAATATTTATTTCATTCACTTTCAAAGAGAAATTTGTCATTTAAACCAATGGCTAAGATCCTAACTCCACTTCTTAGAATTAGTGTATAATTCAACCTTTCCTTATATGTTTTAGCCTCCAGTCCCCTAATCATCTTTGTTGCTCTTCTCTTCACTCTTTCTAGAATCTCAACATCTTTTTTACATTGTGGTGACCAAAACTGGATGCAGTATTCCAAGTGTGGCCTTACCAAGGCATTGTAAAGTGGTATTAATACTTCACGTGATCTTGATTCTATCCCTCTGTTAATGCAGCCTAGCATTGTGTTGGCTTTTTGGCAGCTGCAGCACACTGCTGGCTCATATTTAAGTGATTGTCCACTAGGACTCCAAGATCCCTCTCACAGTTACTACTATTGAGCAAGGTACCCCCTATACTATCTATACCTGTACATTTGTTTTTTCTTGCCTAAATGTAGAACCTTACTTTTTTCACCACTGAATTTCATTTTGTTAGATAGTGCCCAGTGTTCAAATCTGTCCAGATCCTCCTGTTTCCTAAGCCTGTCTTCTGGAGTGTTAGTACATTACCACTGTGTTTGTTTTCATTGCTCTATTTTTTTCTTTTTCAAAATATATTGGTCAGTATTTTATATTTTTCTTGTTTTATAATCTACAGTAATACAATTTTAAAGATCATTTTGTTTTCTGATTCAGGCATTAAAATGTCTAAAGCTCATCTGCAGATTTTGTCTGCACCTTGTCTGCAACTTCTCTGGCGCTTGAAGAAAATGCTGTAAAACAGAGGGGAGTCCAATTCCCATTAGCAAAATTACAAAATAATATATAAAATGTTATTCTAAATTGGAAAAGCTGGATTAGCTTTTGAGTTATTCACTAACATTTCAGTGCTATGGGGGGAGGGATAATGAAAATAATATAGAATTGAAAGCTAAAATTCCTTATCTTGTTTGTCCGTCTAGAAACAATGAGGAATCAAATTTTCTACAGATGTGGTTATCTGATTTTGATTCTTTCTGCACACTAGGATGTTTTCTTGGATGAGAGTACTATACAATGCATACATCTCTCTTTTTATGTGGGCTCTGTTAATTAGATCTTCGCTACATGCTTGGGAAGGTCAGATGGGAGACCAAGCACACTATGCACGCGCACGCACACGCACACGCACACACACACACACAGAGAGAGTACTATACTGCTACTCAGATACAGTAAGTGAAGTATAATGAACTTTTCCTAATGTTCCCCCTAGCCAAAAAAAGCTGGCACTTCTCTGATTATAGAGAAAGTAATCCCTCTGATATTTACTTTCATTCAATAGTAGAACAATTGCTTCTCTTGTAATGTTTGTCTTTCCCACCTCTCCACCTGTACCATCACATTTGAATGTTCAGATGATTCAGGCAAAACAGAACAAAATATCTACAACTTGGAGATAATTCTCAATGTATAATATGTTAAATTTCATATATTCCTTCCCCATCATTACCATAGGGTTGGCTTATTCTTATTTTAATCTAATTCATTTCAGTATCCTAAATTACTTGAAAGAAACATCTTAAATACAGTTCAGATTTTAATTAAAACCTCATGTTCTGATCCTTCAATATGGATTTCTTTTAGCTGAGATTTCTGTTGTGCACCTGCTTATTTCACTCATAAGATTTTGGTATAAGTTTAGTTTTAATTTTGTTTTCCCATGTATTTCTTCAAGATCTGTTCACAGAGAGTAAATGAAAGTGCTGTACCACCCTTTTCATTAGTAGTGCTAGAAGTTGTTTAACAAGAACTGTCAATATTCCTTGAAATAAAGGGACAAGCAAAAAAATGTAGTATTATTAAAATGTGTCACTGTTTTACCTTTTCACTGTTTCTGTATTTTCCCCACTTTCTTAACATCTTCAGCCATTTGTCCACTCTTTCTATCTCCTGAACTTTTTGCTATAAAAGAGTTTTAAAAATGAAGGAGAATTTAGATAGAAAGGAAAGATGGAAATATAATATCCAGGTCAATAGACTATGGAGTGATATGGTTTTTACAAGATAAATAAACAATAGTTTTATACTGGACATCTAAGGAATTATTCCGTTTCATTTATTCTCTGCTCTAAAAAAAGTAGCAATTTATTTTATATTCTTCATTGATTAATTATCTTGAGCCTTGTCCTAAATCAGTGGTTCTCAACCTTTTTAATGCCGCGACCCCCCCAACCGGTCGTAAGTCGAGGACTAAACCGGTCGTACGTCGAGGACTACCTAACTGATCGTAAGTCGAGGACTTTCCCTGTCTGGGAGTGCCGCGCATACGTGGTGCCGCCCCCTGCGCCGGCCGAGATGTAGCTGGCAAGCGGCAGAGATGGAGCAGGCCAACCACGGGCTGGGCCACCAGTTGGCCCAGCCCAAGGGAGGTAAGACACCCACCAGAAAAGGGGGAAAAATGGCGGACAGCCTTGCTTGACGACCCCCGTGAAATGGTTGATCGACCCCAAATGAGGTCCCGACCCATAGGTTGAGAACCGCTGTCCTAAATGAAAGCTGTGCACTATTGATCAACTAGAGAGTGCCAATTATTGGGCTCTGAAGAGCAAAAATGTTACCTTAACAGCTAAATGAGAGATGACAGTAATGAATGAGACATATAGACATTCACTACTATAGACAATTATTAGAACTAGTGGTATTAAATGTCCAACACTGAATGCTAAGATGAGTCTCCTTCAGTCAATCAGATTTTAAGTTTAGCAGTAATTCATGTTTCTGTAACTATATATTTCAGTTTTACTCATTAATGCTTAAATATTCTTCTAAAAACAGCTAGTTACATTTGCAAGAGTTCCCAGCTGAACCAACTAATTCCATAGATTTACAATGTTCATTTTTTGAATGCATTTAGAACAAACTGTATTTCTTTATAAAAAATATATATGCCTTTTCATTTTGTCCAAATCTTAGATTTCCAAGAATTCCAATATTCTGTTTGCTGGGAAAGATGAAAAACTTCACATTACTGAAAACAATTTTGTTGGATATCTGCTTAAGAATATTAATGATTCAACAAAGTAACTCTTTTTCACCTCTATGCAATAGAGCACAACCATATATTATAGCTCGTATTTGATCAACATGATAAATTCTACATAAATTCTACTCTGTTTCATTAGATGTCATTAATCATCTCAATGAAGTCTTGTTCTATTATTTTTTACAGATTCTGCAAACAACATTGTAGTACTCAAGAATATCTCATTGTCATTCTCCACAAATGGACCATTTTAACCAATGTTTTGCCCATGGAAAGGGGGGAATAGAGCTGATTTTATTAAAGCTAAGATCACCAACAAATACGTTAAAGACCAACAAAGTATGCTGCTCCGTCATACTAGTAAATCATTCTTCTCACACAGGAGAAAAAATTAAGAGTATAATCTGCACGTGATTTCGGCCAGGTATGCACTGAGACAGCCCCACAGTTATCATGAAAGCCATGAAACCTCAACACAATCTATTTAAGATATTTCAATATTCTCCTGGGGTCTAAGTTCCTACGTAGACTAAACTACATTCAATCTACACTGCATAATCTATCTATTTATGTCCCAGTCATGAGTTAGTTCTGTTCACTCATCGCAAATCTAATCAGGTTTATGTTGGGTAAAATTTTATTTTTATCACAATGCTTCATCTTAAGATCAAAGCATCATCATTTAGTTATACCTTCCTAAATCCTGTATTTGTGATACAGATAAATGATATATTTTTTTGATTTATGTAAGAATCTTTAATCAGATTATTTCAATATTCTTATTAAAAACCGAGCAATCATTTCCATCAATTATTTTACAGAATATAAAGCTTGCAGAACTTACCTTTTCCTCCAGAGCACTATGAATTGGTAGCTCATGCTCACTGAAATAGTAAAAGAAAAAGTCAGATTGAACTAATGTGTGATATAAGAATGCTTAAGGAAATGCAAGGAAGAAATCTGAAGTTATGCCCAAAAAAAGATGGTCAGAGATTTGCTGATATGTTAGCTGATATTTTTTTGTTAACTTGGGTCTTTAATTAAAATTCAGAACAAACACCTAAATCAGTAACACATGAAAGAAGCATTATATAACATATAATAATAATATAAAACATTAGAGAGCTAGTCTGATGCAGTGGTTAAGGTGGCAGCTCAGAAAACTAGGAATCTCTGAGTTCTAGTCACACCTTAGACATGAATGCCACCTGAATGACTTTGAGCCAATCACTCTTTCTCTCAGCCCAACCCAACCCAGTGGGTTGCTGTTGGGGGTGGGAATATTAGATATAAAAAAGGAGGGTTAAAACAACCCTTTTATGAACTCCTGTTTTCAATGGATAAAAATACTGCAGTCTATTCAGCAAACATTTATTTCCTCTCCAAAGTCCTCAAAATATGTGCTCTAGTGACTCAATCAGGGGATACATGAGGTTTGTGGAGCAAGGGGAAAAGATAAATATGCATGCTGTTTTGCTGAGAGAAGCAGTTCTTCCAGCAAGAGACTTAACTGGATTATACTCTATAATTTTTGTATAATTTTTACAAAAGTGATCACCCAATGAAAAGATTGGGATATTTTCAAATGCAAAAATCCACATCTCTTCAAAAGGAATGTCAGAGAGATCTGGAATATTTCTAAATGCCCTTAAAGAGTTTTCATGGTTTCAGAAATTCTAATTATGCCAGCAGTGTTTAATATGTCTGTATGCTTAATTCTGAAAGATCTAGCTTTGTCAGAACTTTTTTAGAATATGATGGCTGAAACTCTTATATACAACATTACAGTTGACTTGCTCAGGTAATAGTAAGTACATTCATGGCAATGATAAGTGTAGAACGATCTAAGGCATGGAATAAACACAACACAACACAACCATGTCAATGAACAGCAAAGTTCAAAGTTTCTTTCGGCAAAGTATTAAAGAATTCACAAAAAAGAAAAAAACTTACTGCAAAAATCCAAATCTGTCTGTAACTTTGTAAAGAGCAAAGTCAGCATCTTCCCATGGATCAATCTGAGTTCCATCTTGCCTTCCCTGTAAAAAAAAGGAAGGTGGCACAATGAAGTTCCCCATAAAAGAGCCTAACAATATAAAGTTTTGTCATACTGGTATTATTTTAAAAAGCTATATACGGTAATATGAATATTAGGAATATGAATGTGTGTGTGTGTGTGTGTGTGTGTGTGTGTATGCACGTATGTATATTCAGATAGTCCTCAGCTTATTGAGCCCAAAATTTCTGCTGCTAAGTGAAATATGTGTTAATTGAGTTTTGCCTCATTTTACAACCTTTCTTGCCACAGCTGTTAAGTGAGTCACTACAGTTATTAAGATAGTGACACGCTTGTTAAATGAATATGGTTTCCCCATTGACTTTGCTTGTCAGAAGTGATCACATGACCCCAGGATACTGCAACCATCATAAATATGATTCAATTGCCAAGCATCTGAATTTTGATCATATGACCTGGGGATTCTGCAATAGTTGTAAGTGTTAGAAAAATGTTCCTAAGTCATTTTTTTCAGTGCTATTGTAACTTTGAATGGACACTAAGTGAACTGTTATAGGGAAAGGACTACCTATATATATATAAAAAAATAATACCAGTTCTGATGGATTTTAACTCATGTAAAATCCTACAGACAAACAGACAGTCTTGTATATAATCAGATGATATGTGGTATCACTTATTTTTGCAAAGTGGCATTACTGTATCATGTACATTACATAAAATGCTTTCTAATCACATGCCTGCAGATTTGCACATGCCATCCTTCACCAGTATCTTTCACTATAAAGTTGGGAATGATCTTTTAACTTTAAATCTCTTAAAGGTACACTTTCATGCTTCCATATACAGACAGCCCCCAAACAAGTCATTTTTGCAAACTGGCTTTTTCAACAGACTTCCCACTATTAAAACATTGCATTCCTCAATGAACAGAAACGGCTGTCATAAAGGTTTCAAGGAATGATCCATATTGTCATTGCACTGTGAATTGCATTCTTATGAACAGCTGGATGGGCAGCTAAATACAGAAGACCTGCTTGGGGCATATGGTCACGCTCACTGAAATTCTTTGTTAGAATTAGCAAATTAATGGACAAAATGAATCCTATACCTTCTCATACTTTGCAATGATTTCTGCCCTTTCTTCTGCTATTAAAGCATCTATATCTTTCTTCATGTCAAAAGCTGCAAGAAAAACAAATATTGAGCAAAATGTAGGCAATATATATAGCAAATGATTGGGTTTCTTTGGGAAGTGGTTTTTTTTTTTTGTAAAAATAATAAAAAAGCACTTACAACTGAAACCTGAGCTAATAAAATAAGACAAACATTTTATTCTTTATAATCATATAAAAACCATAGTGTAAATCAGTGTTTATGAATGTTCATCTTTGTAGAAATGTATAATTAACATCAGACATAAATACCAGTTCAATTGAAGCCATTTTTATCTTATTTTAAATGTTAAAAACTATAGGAATATACTAATTCTGCTACACAGTGTATTATTCCAGATTGGTTCTGGGGCACAATTCTCATTGGATGTTAGAATTTTGTTAACCTAAGCCTTGGCCTATGCTCAGTGGGACTTGCTTTCAAGTAAGAAATGTAACAGAAAGTTAAAAGTAGCCTCAATACAAAATACCTAACAGGTATCCGTTTCAAGGCTTTTCAGAAAAGCCTGGAGCAAATCCTTCCTGTGGAGATCTAGGCTTAAATAAGTGCTAGTTTTCTTAGATTTGGTAGGCTTCTAGCAAATTATTCCTGTTTCCACTTTTATACTGCATGTTATTGATGCATTTTTAAATGGATATTTTATACTGAATTTAATTGTTTCTAAACTGTTTCAAGAACCTCAAAAGGTCATGAGAATACAAGCCATCTTGACTTCATGTGCAAACAATCATAGAGGAAGGGGGTTCCCACAGAAAATAGAAATTTTCCCACAATTTTGCTCTTTGTTGGGCTCTGAAGATAAGCAGAATATCCTTCATCAGTATCTGAATAGGAGATCTCCAGAATAACAAGGCAATAACTTAAACTGGAAAACTGAAAAATCATTCTGCAAGAAAGTAATAGCAAACAATTTCCATATTGCTGTCAAAAAAAATCTAAGTGGACATAGTTATTCAAATTCGGTTTGAAGGCTTACCACAGGCCAGGAGGATCACAGTCTAGCTTGATAATTATCCCCTACTTGTCAGTCACATTTATTTTGTCCTGTCCAAACATACTTTTGCATCAAAATCCTACAGAAAGTAAAATAAATGAACTTTGCACACCAAAGGATGATAGCTCTTACCTAAGATGGCTGGTATGTCTTACACTGCACCTGTTGAGGCTATGGATGGCCTCTCCCTCTTGATGCTACCCAACAGGAAACATTCCAAATGCACAACATGTGCCTTCAAAACTGCTCTGCCGTTTGCCGATGATGATTCCAAGCAGTCTTTAGTTTGGTCATTCCCACTCTTTATCATGCATTCCACAGTCTTGAAATCTTATCTTCATTTGATTTCTCTACAACAGGGTAAGACATTGGTCAGTTGAAAGAAATACTTCTGGGGAATTCTCCAAAAATGATATGCTGAGCGGCAAGGCATTTTTTTTTTCTCCTGCCAACAAACAGCTGATTTTGCTGCCACAGCCAGCTCTTTGGTGCTCCCCACATTCGAACAGGAGCAATTAAGAATGACTCAAGATGACTCTCGGATGATTGTGGACCTGTATGGGAAGAGGACCTTGATGGATGTAATTCCTAGTAGGAGTGGCTGGAGAATTAGGTCTCCATCTTTTCCTTTTGGCTGCTTGCTATTCTTAGGCATGCCTCAGTTTTAACTATATGTTTTCAAAGTTTTAATTACAAATGATTCTCATTTTTAAATGTTAATTGACTGGTCAAATGCTGATCTATTTTAACCCTTTGCTGAATTTTAATATGTTTTTTTTTATCTTTTCACTGCTTTATTTTGTTGTTGTGAAGCACTTTTACTTTCTTCGTATGGAAGTTGATGGTGATTTCCTGGTTAGTGAAAGTGATCTAATTTTATTTACATTTTCATCAGATTTTTACCACAGGGATTCCACATTTTATTAACTTTTACAAGCCCTGGTCATTGTTTTTTAATTTCTGATGGAATATTCCCTTTTCCCCCATCCATTTTTATTGTGGGAAACACTATCTTAACATTTAAAAGTAAAAATTCCTAGTAGCTCCTGTTTGAGTTTGGGGAGCATGCTGCCAAAGACAAATAGCTGACATTGGTGGCAATGTCAGCTATTTGTCGGCAGAGGAGAAAAATCACCCTGCTGCTCAGCACACCATCCTGACAGGACTCAAATTAATTTGTTTATTAAATTAAATATATTTATTTTGCTGATTTTCTGCAACATTGAAAACAATCAGTTAGAATTCAGAAGGTAATCATCTTTCCACAATATGGAATGACAAATCAGTATTAAGCACCAATTCTTTTTGACCAATTAGAACCACAAATATAGAAACCAGAGGATAGTGTATGATGGAATTGCATGCTATGGTAGTCAGACGTATCAGGAAATAGAAATGTAATTAGAAAAAAGAAGAGCATAGGACAAAAAAGTTGATCACATCTATATCCCTTGCCAGACAATTTTCTCTCTAGTTTGTATTTCAGTAGTAAAACTGAGATCAGCTAAAAGAAGGACACTTGGGTGAGCAGTTCTAAATTCCAGTCACATATTTTTTTCATTTTTACTTGCACCAACTCACCCACCAATGATCTTTTAGTTGGCAGTGCAATGCTTAATTGGTTGTGAAAAAATGTAATAGGAATTTGATCTAATTAGTTCTTGGATGGGAGACCAACAGAAAGTCCCAAGATTACAGAATGAATGGGGGAGTTGAAGAAATAGCTTGTAAGAATGTGGCAGCAAATAAGTTCAATGCTGTTGCTGAAAAAACTACATGGTCATACCTGTGAAGTAACCAGGACTCAGAGGCAACACAGAGCAGCTTTTATGGATACATACACTGGCTAGATTAAGTTTTAATAACTCACAATATTCTGATTACAATTTATATAATCTCTTTCCAATTTAGCATCTTCTATGTGTACTAGACTAGATGTTCCATCAGACCTATGTAGCCTAACTAGGAATGGTAGAAGCACTTAGAGGACAATTGACTGGACAAATGTGATTTACATTATAGGCTTATAAAAAAAAGTTTTGCGCCCTTATAGATTTTCTGAAAGTTTGCCTATCTGAATCTTATCAGAGTTGCACAGAGATCCTACTTTAGTGTTACTTGTTTGCTACTAATATCAGTAGGATATATTCAGAAAATCCCAATAGGGGGGAATACATTTTCGGGGGGGGGGGAGCAATTCTTTTCTCCAGCAGCTGGAGATTGCTCAGAGCAATTTTCTAATCATGAGCCTAGCATCAAAAGAAAGCCAATGTTCAACTCTTAAAATGGAAAGTTCAGGTGAAAAGCTATTAACTATTTATCTTAACATACTTTGAATAGTATATTCCCCATCTATACCAAATTGTTCGTCTCAAGCATTTATTAGGCTTGAAAATCCTGAAACAGCATCCCGTCAGGTACTGCTTGTAAAAGAATAAAACCATTCTACAGCTCAAAGAAAGAAGCAATTGCACTTTATTGTTGGAATGATGAAATGCCTACAGTATTATCTTGACAAATAATAAAGTGGCATCTAAATTTAACAATAACAAAATTGGAAGGGACTTTGAAGGGGTTCTAGTCCAGAAGTCCCCAACCTTTTGGGCACCAGGGACCGGTTCCATGGTGAGAGGTTTTTCCACAGACTGGAGGGTGCGTGGTTTTGTGTGCTGCCTGCATCTCATGGATGGGGCTTTGCTAGTTTGTGCAGACCAGTTGCTGACATGCCATAGACCAGTACTGGTCCACGGACCGGGGGTTGGGGACCCCTGTTCTAGTCCAGTCCATGGCTCAGGCAGGAAACCCAATAGCATTTCAGACAAATGACTGTCTGATGTCTTCTTAAAAACCTCCACAGCTTCTGTTAATGCTATTAACAAATAGTATTAACAGCTGCAACAGCTTAAACTACTATCATCAGCCTAGACTGCACTGAAAGACAGATAACTTTCCTCTAGACATTCTTACAATCTGAGTTGGAGACCTTAGGATCAATATAGAATATTTACCCTAAGCTTTAACATACATACACAAACAGACACACTGCCCCCAGAAGCTATGAGAGCACTCATCTTTTTTTTTTTTTTTGCAGTTTTACCATTAGCATTAATTAGCACTGCATATGAGACCTACAGTACATAAAAAAATAATCTCAAGATATTTTGAATTTAAAGGACTTTGGGAGGGTTAGGTGGGGATTTAGTTCAGTCCTAAAACAGGCAGCAGAGATGACCTCTTTGGAATTGCTACCACAAGAAGAACACCAAGGAGTTTATTCTTTTAGTTGTTTGTTTAGGGAGCAACAACGGCAAGGATGCTCTTTCTTTTTCCAGGCTATTGTAACAGAGAAGAGATTCGAGCTGCTTTGGAATTATTAAATTATTAAATTAAATTGATTAGGTTATGCATTGGACCATTTAGTAATATTTATATGAGTCAGTTCTGAGATATAACTTCTGAGGACATATTCCTATTTCTGTTTGTTCCATTACTTATAAGTTGAACCCATCAGAGGCTTATTTTATACTATCATTGGATCTGGCTGATTTAACAACTACTGGAAAGTGTTGACATGCTTGAGGGAGCTACGTTGACAGCTATGCTCCTACATCCTGGATGATACCAGAAGGTGCTACTGTACTTGAAAGACTTCTATTTGATTGTTAGGAATTATATTGTGGGGTCTTGCAAGGTGCTAAAACATCTATTATATTATTGAAGTCAGGGAAAATTATCATTTGTCTATTTAAACCTATAGTAGTTGCTATGAATATGCTGATGATATTCAGGTACACTTCTCTTTCAGAGGAATTCAAGATTGGATATCGCTATAACTTCTGCATGACTGGGCTCTAAGAAACGATTTGTCAGAGAACAAAAAGAAACTTAACATGGATAAGATGGAAAATGATTTACTTGAGGAACTATGTTGGTTCAAAAAAACATAGTCTCTTATTGGTGACTACCTCTTCCATTAGTAAAAGGTTCCAAATGCAAATGCTGTTATCAGCCAAATAAGTTGACAGATAAACTAGAGGATATTTTAGTAGTGAGCTGTCCAAAGATATGAACAGTGCATACAGTATTCCCTTTGCTGCTTGTTGAATAGCTTCATGAAAAATGTATGCAGTTTAAAATAGAGATATGAGAAGTTGAAAAGCTACTAGAGAGATAAGCTACCTTAAAAAACCGCTACACTTTTCAGTGTTGACTTAATTTTTCAAAACTTCTACAACAGTACTGCAACATCTGCTATTTTTAGATTTTACAGGGCATAATTAAGATAAACAACATTTGTTTTGTTTTAACTTGGAATTCATCTGCCAGATAATGGAAGCACAAGTCATTTTTTTCTTTTCTTGACTTAGATAAAAACAACTCAAAATTTGTACTAATCTACACAGAGCACACTGCAAAAAGTAGAAAATTAAAGAAATTTTTGAAACCCACAATTAATTTTTAAACTTCTCTTTTAAAATTTTAAGTCAATTAAATATAAAGCCAGTTTGAGATCTCCCCAATTAATATTAATACATTTTGATTACCCTTTGCTAATGTGCAGTAATACAATTTATTGTTGATTTTATTTGGTTCTACTTAAATGGCCTGAATGCCCTAAGCGTAAGATATTTTGTTCCTTACTTAACATTGTGTCATTTCTAAACTGCTGTTATATGTACTAATTAATTTTTTCTTCCATTCAATCATGTCCAATTTTCAGGGGCTGCCTGGACAAGTCCTGCAGTTTTCTTGGCAAGTTTTTTCATTAGTAGTTTATCATTGCTTCCTACAATATGTAGTAGCACGTTATGACTACAAGGAGAAAATTCCTCCTCAGTTGGACTAAGCATATATTTGCCTAAACCAAAATACAACCCTCTTTTCAACAAGCCCAATCATGTATATAATATAAAAGCATAACTGATTTAGCTTCCAAGATTAAATAAAAAAACATAGCCAGCTTCAATTCAAACACGGAGACAAATGCATCTGAAATCCCTGCGGATGCTATCCAATGTACTATAGCGGGATTAAGGTGTTTGATTTGGACCAAGGAAACCAAGAGTCAAGTCTCTGAGATACTTCACAGGTTTCAACATTTTCACTTCATTTGATAAGAAAAAATGCCTTAGATAAAATAATGTTCATTGTCACTTTTTCCTGTGAACACATTGGCACACATTAAAAATGAAATGCTGATGCCCACTCTTAAAATTTATATACATATACATATACATATAGATAGATAGATAGATAGATAGATAGATAGATAGATAGATAGATAGATAGATAATCACAAACCATTTTGAATGCATAGCAGAAAAAAGACTCTTGAGAGTTAACAAGGTTG